AAAAAACAAAAGGGCTGGGATAAAGAACCCTAAACTTTTACACAAAACAGTTATTCGGGGACGATATATTTCCAAATAGAACTGTTATTGTGTGTGAAGAACCTTTAAAGAACCAACTTTTTTAAGAGTGTAGAACAAGCATTCATTTGTTTGAAATATTTGTAGTTGAATACTTATCCTTTAGTTGATTATACTGGAAGAATATGCTGGAAGAACATTGTTTTCTGGTCACGATTCCCTGTATGAATATGGCATACAAATTGCCATACTGAAATTCCCTACTGTACTGACAACACGTTTAGACAGCTAGAGCAATTGACACACAAATGAATCCCCAGTGCACGTATATGTGCGACCCCATTCCCATGCAGGCATATCCCATAAGCCCTGATGTGTGGCAGTGCCAGCTCAGACAGCAGCAGGAGCAGCAGGCTCTCTCTACTGTTCCGTGTGACTGCTGATCAAAGTCTCATATTTAGCTTTCTGACTGCATGCAGACTGTCTGCAGATCACTGTGTTGAGCACAAGTTGCAGCTGGATTAAGAATATGTTTCATAGTTTGACAAGCACGCAAAGTAGAATATACAGTATATATTCTGTATATACTGTATATAGTATATACAGAATATATATTCTGTATATACCCCCCCCCCATTGCACCTCTCAAATCCAGGTCTGAGGGGGACGTATTCCTCTGATATTCAAAGTAGCGGTCAGTATTTAATGACTAATTATACCAGGGTCAGAGTTTAACTTTTCCATTAAAGGGCAATTTTTGCCCCTTGGAATTGATTTCCAAGGACATTTTTATAATTAACTTTATAATTAATGTATTTGTTATTATGTCAAATACCTAACTTATTGGTTGAAGTTGGTATTTGACATTAAAGATAACAAATACATTAATTACTTCAATCGGTCATAATACTAGACTATTCTATCGACCTTAAGGCACATTAAGCCATCTTTACACTGCATAGGTGGAACAGAAGCTGCGTCTGACATGGCAATTATGTGACTGTTTAATGTTGCTCAAAGGTAGAATACATGTATTTTTACAACAATTGCATAATTCTAAATAGCCTACATAAAGTATGATTACAAATGTTGATTAATGAAATACATACACTTCTCTGTGTTTGCGGAAACAGCATGTCTGGCTACAAATTCTATATTCTGGCTGCAAAACAAGCAGCACTATCTATGAATGAGTTTATTGCTTTTTATGCATTAGACAATCAAGATTTACCCTTGGTTATTTTAGTAGCATTAAAATAACGTTTATTCAAACTGGGAATAAATTATAGCTATAAAAAAAGCGAGCAAAGAACATTTCTCATGACTGAAGCGGTCTGTGACTTCAGTATAGTGTGAGTTCTGCACTCTCGCTAAAACTCACGTTATAATCACTAAAGCTGTTTACACTGCAGAATGAATCTCTTGCCACAGTTTGTGTCTGCGATGAGAGAATTCGGAACAGTGAATTTATAACAGCTAAGGGGCGTTGTTAAAAAAAACCCTTAACTGTTATAAATTCACTGTAAACTACGGCTTCATGGGGCTTATTGCATTTATAAAATGGTTATTCCATATACGTAGTAAGGTAGTAAGGTTTCACAAAATAAAACAGAGCAAATAAAGTGTAATGATAATAAAACATCATTCTTCCGGAAAACAATGTAGTTCCTCAGAAACGGTTGTGGTTGCAACAAATTGGTTGCCGAGCAACACACAGACGTAAACAAAGGTGTATGTTTGTAGAGTAATTTACAACAGTTTCGAACGCGGCTCAACCAATCAGAATCAAGGACCAGAACTATTCGTTTTATAAGAGCATGCACACTCTTCTAAATGCCTCTGTTTGGCCATTGTATTCATATGTTCAACTGAAATGTGTATCAGTGGTTATGCTCAGTGTTGCAAAAATGCTTAAAAATAAATCTGATGCAACATGAGCAGATCAAATTTTTTATTTTCACATTTCACTTTAAATGCAACAGCCATAAAAACATTTGTTTAATTGTGCAGGGGCATTGTTTGGCCCTTTAATTTTGGACCCTCAATTATGCAATTGTACAATATTGTGCTTGTATTGAAGATTCATAATCTTGTTCATATAATTGCACATATCCAAGATGCATTACTCCTAGTTTTATGTAATTGATGTCAGACGCCATTAGCATTTACCCAGAATATTTTTTTTTTACAGAGAATATTCTTGTTGTTAAATATGTTGACATTAATAACCTTTCATTTTCGTAGGTTTTTTTTATTTTTGTGTTTGTTTTGTTTGTTTCTTCTAAATTTCAGGTCTTTGTTGTTTACAATGTGTGATCTTATGATCAAGAAATATCTGAATACTGTGTCTAAACTACATTACAGTATGCTTAGGTCAGTTCATGGTTTAATGTTGATTAATTTTATGTGTTGAATTCTTTCCATAAAAGTACTAGATCAACTGACCTTCTCCAACATTAAGTACATGTGCATAGATCTATAGTCCAACTATGGTCCATACTGGCATGATTTCAGTTAGTCTAAAAAGATCACATGACTTAAAAAAAAAAAAAAGATGTATTGCTTTAGTCTGACTGAAATTGAACTTTTAAAGTGCAAGCAAACACACTTAATTCTCCAATCGATTTCTGTCCTATTGGTTAGAGTGTAGATCATTCAGTGGCTTCTATCAAAATAAGAGACTCTATATATCAACTAAAGACTAAATACTTTAGGTTGTTGGCAGTGGTTTGAGTTAGTGTGTATATCATGTTTGCATAGATTTATTGTGTTTAAAAAGCCAGGCTGGCTTGAGGAGTGGGCGTTATCTGTGTCTAACCCATTTTTTTCTCCTCAATGCTCAGGCCCTGTCCACACGAACGTGGTTATTTTTAAAACCGCAGCTTTTTCTACACGGTTAGGCCGTTCGTCCACACGCAAACGCAGCACCAGTTCACTGAAACCGAACATTTTTAAAAACGCCTGCCAGGGTGAAGATTTTTTAAAACTCCGGAGTTTTTGGCTTGTGACGTCGGCGCCTGCGCTGTTATCTCCGCCTACTGGAGACTTTTTCAGGCTTCTGATTGGCCAACATGGCTTTACAGTTGAGATTATATCGCCACCTGTTGGTTTGGCATGCTCTTGACAGTGCTTAATAGCATGCGTTTGCGTTTTCATGTGGACGGAGATTTTTTCTTAAACGGAAGAAGGAAAAACTATAAAAATACCCGTGTACGTGTGGACATGGCCTCAGTCACACATTCTCAGATCGGATTAAGCTCAATACTCTCAGACTAGTCTATCAACCAATAGAACTACAGGCACTGATTCAGCTCTTATGTCCCCTTCCTAAATTTAGCATAAGAGAACTGACCTCACACCAGTGACAATGAGCTTACCACTTTCAATAGTCAAAAAAGTTGCATTTGTAAGTTAAATATTTTCTGGTGTGTCAGTCAGTGGTAAGTCCAGAAAATTTTCATCTTGAGTATGGTGCATCCCTTTTTATAGTCTTTGACACTTTTACCCTATATTTTTTCTCAGGGCTGCACAATTAAGTTATTTTACTACATTACCATCCAGGCAAATATTTAAGGATGTGCACTAATAAGAATGTACAGCATGATGAATATACTGTACCATGGAACAGTCGAAACTGGTAGATATTTTGCCATTCAGTTTTTTTAATACCAAATTTGCATGGCTATTATTGGGCAGGACTGCATCAAAGAAGCATTGAGTAATGTGAAAATACAGAATTTATTAAGGGGTTTAAGTGTTGGTTGCAAAACAATGTTGACATTTTACAGTGATTTTAAAACAATTTTACAATGACTACAAATGTTCCTCATACAATTAATTTGTTATGAATAATCGTCTTTTGTTTGCTCTGTCAAGATCCAAGTAAAAAAAGGAAAATATTCAAGTGAAATGTGTGTTTAATTTGTACAGCACTTTTCAAGTTTTTAACTCATTCACTGAACTCGGATTATGCAAAAATCATTATCACATGGTTATTTCTAATGCAAACCAATATTTTGGTCACACTGGTGCCCAGCCCTACCAGCCATAATCTAACTTGAAAGTATATATTTATATTTATATTTAATTGTGAATGCTAATTTTGCATTTAGATTACCACTGGCATCATCTAATGCTCACTTAAAGTCAGGATGAAATGAAATCTCATGTTATGTATTTTGGAAATGCATTAAAGGATAAGTTCACTTCCAGAATAAACATTTCCTGATAATTTACTCACCCTCATGTCATCCAAGATGTTCATGTCTTTCTGTCTTCAGTCAAAAAGAAATTAAGGTTTTTGAAAAAAAAAAAATTCCAGGATTTTTCTCCATATAGTGGACTTCAACGGTGGCCAATGGGTTGAAGGTCCAAATTGCAGTTTCAGTGCAGCTTCAAAGGGCTCTACATGTTCCCAACCGAGGAATAAGGGTCTTATCTAGCGAAATGATTGGTCATATTCTAAAAAAAATAAAAAATGTATATACTTTTTCGACACACATTACCTAGTCACGTTGGAAAGGTCACACTTGACGTCAGAATAACCGACCCAAAAGTCAAACGCCGTTTACAAAAAAAGGTCAAACAGCGATGTCGGATAATTTTGAAGTTGGAGGAGAAAATGATATGGAGTTTTTCACCCTACCCTACCTTTTGAACTGAAGTACACAGACAAAGAACTAACCACGTGTGACTTTTCCAACGTGATTACATAATGCGTGAAGTCACACCTGCGCATCCGCATTTGTGGTTAAAAAGTATATAAATTTAAATTTTTTTTAGAAAATGACAGATTGTTTCACTAGGTAAGACCCTTATTCCTCGGCTGGGATCGTGTAGAGCCCTTGGAAGCGGCATTGAAACTGCAATTTGGACCTTCAACCCATTGGTCCCCATTGAAGTCCACTATATGGAGAAAAATCCTGGAATATTTTCCTCAAAAACCTTCATTTCTTTTCGACTGAAGAAAGAAAGATATGGACATCTTGGATGACATGGGGGTGAGTAAATTATCAGGAATTTTTTATTCTGGAAGTAGACTAATACTTTAATTGCATTGTGAACGATTTATCAATACATATGTTTCATTTTAATCAGCAGAATGTCAAATCTCAATCTTGCGGTTAAATAACAGGCTGCTTTCTGGTAACGTAAGAAGGACATCTCTAGTTGTTTAGTCCAATCATTTGCCTAATCAACAACTAATGGTTAGAAGCGAGTCCCCGCACAAAATATTTTTATTTTTTGATAATCTGTCTCACTCGGATATACATTACTACACAGATGAAAAGAGATGGCGCTACGTCTCTTTGCAAGTTCATTGCAACTTTAATTTATGAAAATATCAATAATTTAATTAAATGTAATGTGAAATCTGAAAATGAATATCTATTTATTATTTAGACAAAAAAAGGTTCATTTTAAATTGTAATGTCAGACATTTATTGGTATTGGCCAGAATTGTAATATCTTGTTATCTTACAATATTTTAGTCAGTTTAGTTACTGTGTATTGAAGTCTGTTACCGTTTTTTTTTTCCGTTTTTTTTTTCAGTTTGCTCACAGTTTTCCAGAGGAGTGTATGCCATCTTTGGCTTCTACGATAAGAAGTCGGTGAACACCATCACTTCATTCTGTGAGACGCTGCACGTGTCCTTCATCACACCCAGTTTTCCTGCTGATGGGCTAAACCAGTTTGTTCTGCAGATGAGGCCTGATATCAAAGGTCCTCTCATCAGCCTGGTGGAGTATTACAAGTGGGAGAAGTTCGCCTATCTGTATGACAGCGACTTGTAAAAGGGCTTCTGCTGTTGTTTGGCAGTCTCAGAATTTCTGATATTGCGACTGTGCTAGCTGAATGCTTTCTGAATGTTTTCACTATTGACTGGAGTGTCCGTGATGTGCTGCATCTCTGGTTTGAGGCGGCGAAATAAATCTCTCCCCCAAGACCTAGATATGAAATCAACCGAGAGAGGGAGAGGAGGGAGAGATGCGCAGTAAGGAGGGAAGCTTAAGAGAAGAGGAGTATTAAAGGGCAGATGACCAAAAGAGAGAACGCTGAAATAAAGAGAGCGAGGAGGAGAAATGATAAATGAAGGAGAAAAAGTGTCCCAAGGGGCCTTCTAGTGCAATAAAAATACTCCTGATATCAAGGTCTCTGGGTGTAATTTGGAGCAGTGGTTGATTAAAGTAGAACAGTGGTTAAAACAGAGAGTAACCGTAATTGAGATTGAATCTCATTTAAAAAGACACAGTGAGGCAAGTAGACGTGGGGTTTTAAAGCAATTACACTTTAGGAAGGTAATTAAAGCTTGAGCAGATTGATGAAAAATTTTATGAAGACATTTGATGTGAGGCACTCACTGCTGTGCGTCTCCATATGTAGGTCTGTCTACCCTGCAGGCAGTGCTGGACACAGCAGCAGAGAGGAAATGGCAGGTAACAGCCATAAACGTTGGAAACCTGAAGGATGAGTGGAAAGACGAGGCATATCGCTCCCTCTTTCAGGACCTGGAGAACAAGAAAGAGAGGAGAGTCATTTTAGACTGTGAACAGGACAAAGTCAAGGACATTATGGAGCAGGTGAATGACGCACTAAAAACACATTACAGCACACGTGTAAGGTCAGGAATGTAGTTAAAGGATGATGTACTGCGTACACCTTTAACATTCATTATGAGGCGCTTTAATTAAATTGCTCTTGTGAACGACGTTTTTTGTCTGCTTCTCCTTAGGTGATCACGATCGGTCGACATGTGAAAGGATATCATTACATCATTGCAAATTTTGTAAGTTGTCAAAGATCTTTTTTTTTTTTTTTTTTTCGGCTGTCAGTTAAAAGAAACATTTTTCCCAACAATGATTTTAACTCACTTATTTACTCACCCGCTTTTTGTTCCAAAACCATTTGATATTCAGTGTTTCGAGGAGAAAGTTTTAAAATAAATCCAATGCAGCTAAATTATACAGTTAGCAGGAGTTGTGTCAAGCTCCCAAAAATTTAAAAAGCACCAGATAGGTGGCTAATATTGCTTATGCAATATATTCCAGGTCTTCTAAATCTAAAAAGTTGCTTTGCACTTTTATAGTGCCAAAAAATGGCCTTTTACCAGAATAATCACATTTAAAAAATAAAGCTGTAATATTTTGAGAATTGTGACCTTGGAGCACAAAACCAGTCATAAGGGTCAATTTTTCGAAATTGAGACGTATACATCATGAATAAATAAGCTTTCCATTGATGTATGGTTTGTTAGGATAGGACCATATTTGGCCGAGATACAACTATTTGAAAATCTGGAATCTGGGATTGCAAAATAATAAAAATATTGAGAAAATCGCCTTTAAATTTGTCCAAATGAAGTTCTTAGCAATGCATATTACTAATCAAAAATTAAGTTTTAATATATTTACAGTTGGAAATTTACAAAATATCTTCATGGAACATGATCTTTACTTAATATCCTAATGATTTTTGGCATAAAAAAAAAATCTATAATTTTGACCCATACAATGTATGTTTGGCTATTGCTACAAATATACACCAGTGACTTAAGACTGGTTTTGTGGTCCAGGGTCACAATTAAGTCAAAATTATGAGAATTACGTCAATTACGTCACGTCATTATGAGATTAATGTCATAATATTAGCTATGATAATAAAGTCATAAGGAAAGTAACATTTCTACAACAACATTTGAGAAAACGGCATTTAAAAAAAATCCAGGATTACGACAATAAAGTAATATTTTGAGAAAAAAAGTCACAATTACAAGAATAAAGTCAAAATATGTTGAGAATAATGTCAAAATTACAAGAATAAAATCATAGCAATATGAGAATTAAGTTGAAATATTTTGGGGAAAAAAAGTCCAAATTACGAGAATGAAGTCAAAATATTTTGAGAATAATGTCAAAATTACAAGAATAAAGTCAAAATTACGAGAACAGAGTTGAAATATTTTGAGAATAAAGTCAAAATTACGACAATAGAGTTGAAATATTTTGAGAATAAAGTCAAAATTACGAGAATAGAGTTGAAATATTTTGAGAATAAATTCAAAATTACGAGAATAAAGTCAAAATATTTTGAGCATAAAGTCAAAATTACGAGATTAAGTCTGAATAAAGTCATACTGTCTCTGTGAGTATGTGACACATGGTATGATTTCTGCTAATAGTCCCATATATATTCAAATAACTTGCCAGGCCACCGGAATTTCTTGCGGTGCTCCCAATCCAGTCCATTTGCATGCACAATATAAGCTATACCCTCAAAATATTTTAACTTTAATCTCAAAATATTTTGACTTTATTCTCGCAATTTTGACTTTTCTTAAAATATTTTGACTTTATTTTTAGAATTTTGACTTCTCAAACTATTCTCCAAATATTATTATTTTTTACGTGGCACTAAAATGGCATCGTACATTTCAGATGGCACAAAAGAGGCATTTTCTTGAATGTTTGTCAGTTTTTTTTCTCCTGAATAAATTCAGATTCCTACATAACTGCTGCAGTGTCCGGAATCTAATGATAAACCAGTGCTGATGTGCCAAAAAGCCAAGAGCTTCTTTGTTGGTAAATCCTATCCTGTATATGTAAGATTTATAAAATCCTGCTAATTATAAAATTTACTAAATCCTGCACATCCATTTCTTGCGTTGCAGAAGCCCACTGATGCAGTCCTATTCCTATTGTTATAATTACACCATTTCTTTTAATAATTTTTTTTTTATTTTTTTATTTGCCTACACAAATTAGGGATGCTTTTTTTTTTTTTTTTACAATTTGTCCAGAAATTAAGATAAATGCTAAAAAGCTAATCCCTAAATGTTTTTGTTGTTTGGAAAAGAGCAGCTTGGACATACTGCTAAGCATCCCTTTTTGTAAGATTCAGTATGGAGGGGCGAATGTGTCTGGATTTCAGATAGTGGATTTTGATGACCCGCTTGTTGCTAAATTTGACCAGCGCTGGGAGGCACTGGAGGAGAAGGAGTACCCTGGAGCAGACAACAGAATCAGGGTGAAGGAGGGCAAATATTTAAATCATGCTCAAATAAAAATGCAACTGGCAGCATTTTGAACATAGTTATTATATCTATTTGTTATGAATGTTATATCTATCATAAAACACCAAGAAAGACATTTTTATGGTCTTCATATTTCTTTCCCTTGCAGTACACTTCCGCTCTCACATATGATGCTGTGCAAGTAATGACCGAGGCATTCCGCTTTCTGCATAAACAAAGGATTGACATCAGTCGCCGTGGCAACAACGGAGACTGCCTGGCCAATCCTGCGGTGCCGTGGGCTCAGGGGGTGGAGATAGAGCGTGCTCTCAAGCAGGTCTGCTCTGCCAGCACATTATCAATGCCTGCTGTCTGTGTGTGAGAACTTTATAACATTTAACATTTGCGCATGTGTTTAATCAGGTGCGTGTGGACGGATTGACAGGAAATATTCAATTTGATCAGTACGGCAGAAGAGTGAATTACACAGTCAATGTCATGGAGCTGAAAAACAGTGGCCCTGTGAAGGTAACACAGACTTAAACTAAATCTCTTCTTTTTCAAGAACTTGAGTACTTGTGGTGGGGACGGGAATTGTAAGAATTTTTACTAGAGATTTTTACTAGATTCTGATTTCAATTCCACTTAATACCTAATAATGATTCTTACACCCCTGCCCTAAAATTAGTTCTAATTATATGATAACTAAAATCTAAAGCAATATTTTTTGAATTTTTTTAAAGAAATGTATTCATCAAGAATGCATTAAACTGATTAAAAAGTGAAAATAAAGACTTTTACATTGTTACAAAAAGCTTCTGTTTCAAATAAAAGCTGTTCTTTGGAACTGTCTATTCAACATTCATAATACTGTTATTTTAATTTGTTATAATATTTCACAGTATTATTGTTTTGACTGTATTTTTAATCAAAAACAGATCTGCCTTGTACACATTAAACATTTGTAAACAGACAAATCATACTGACCCAGAACATTTGAACGGCATTGTATATGTTATCATCTGACAAGTATCACAAGCTTTAAGTTAATATGAATTGATATAAACTTTTTATCTGATCTGAAAGCATTACAATTTCATTGGTAGCTGAAAGCTTAATAAAAATATGCTTTGATAAAATACTGAACTGTTAAATGAATACACAATGGCTTTTATAAATGATGGGCATGAGTTCGAGAATGATTCTTTATTCATTGTAATTCATTACAAAGAACCAGTTCATAAAAGTAATTATTGAACATTGATTGTGAAGAATGTTTGCGCAGCCAGTGTGGGCAACACAGTATAAAGGTGTGTTGACAGTCTTATTTCACTGCACACAGTCTTTCTCTTTCATCACATTCAAGTCAGACTACAAGCAGACAGCCAAGCTCAAACATCATTTCTTTTTCCTTGGCACTGTTGATTCAGTCGTATAACAGCACCACTGCTGAAAAAAAAATACATTATAGAATGAACCAAAATGTCCAGAAGAATGGTTTTGAGTAAGGTTCTTGATTCCTAACTCCAACTTTGTGTTTTGTATTCTGAACAGAAGTGAAGTTCAATTTCATGAGTGTGTACTTTTCCTCAGATTGGTTACTGGAATGAGGTGGACAAAATGGTGGTGACAAAATCTGACCTTTTCCCCAACGACACCATGGGAATGGAGAATAAAACAGTTGTTGTGACGACAATCCTGGTAAGAGGTATTCCATGGTATTCCACATCAAGAGCGACTGAAATCACCTACATTCGAAAATGTTAACATATTTCCCACCCTGCTTTTTTGTTGTAGGAGGCACCATATGTAATGCTGAAAAAGAATGCAGAGTTATTCACCGATAATGAACGTTATGAGGGATACTGTGTGGACCTGGCAGCCGAGATTGCAAAGCATTGTGGCTTTAAGTATCAGCTGAGGATTGTGGCAGATGGAAAGTATGGCGCACGAGATGCTGAGACCAAGATCTGGAATGGCATGGTTGGGGAACTGGTGTACGGGGTGAGAAGTAAAGCATACACTCACTCACACAAGAGTGCACTCTTGAGAAACAGTGAACACCAGCTCCTCATTGTACATTTCCTATAGGCCTATGTGTGTCATTCGACTAATTCCTCCTCTTTTCACTGTTGACAGAAAGCAGACATAGCTGTAGCTCCTCTTACCATCACTCTGGTCAGAGAGGAGGTGATCGACTTCTCGAAACCTTTCATGAGTCTGGGCATATCCATTATGATCAAGAAACCACAGAAATCCAAGCCGGGTGTCTTCTCTTTCCTGGACCCGCTGGCCTACGAGATCTGGATGTGCATTGTATTTGCCTACATCGGAGTTAGCGTTGTGCTCTTCCTCGTTAGCCGCTTCAGCCCTTACGAGTGGCACACTGAGGAGTTTGAGGATGGGCAGCTGGGCCCTAGCGAATCTACGAACGAATTTGGAATCTTTAATAGTCTGTGGTTTTCTCTGGGCGCTTTTATGCAGCAGGGATGCGATATTTCGCCAAGGTTGGTGCATGCAGTGGGCGCTAATGCTAGCTGGCTAGCGCGTGGGGTGTGCTTTCGGCTTTGTGCATCGACAGTTTTCCCACCGATGCCGTGGTTTGTGGATGTTCACGCTCCTGCAGCTCGTGCTTCATATCCATTTCCATTGCAAATAACCTAGGTGTTATATAACTCCCTTGTCCCCAACTTCAGTGTATCATGGGTAAGAAGAAAGAGCCACCACAGGATTAGAAATGTTTAATCAAAGATGTGGTTTAAACTTTGGTTGAACATTTCTTTTGTGAACATGTACTCACCCGGTTGGGAACAGTAAGATGCACAAGGTCGCCGTTTCCTGCCCTCTTGGAGTGGTACCGTGTTTCGGCTGCATATTCCCCATTTTCTCCAAAGTGAAAGGGTTTTCTTTCTTTCTTTCTTTGGGATTTTATAGTAACAAGATGCTGGTTCTGTTGGTGAAGCGTGTGATCGTTTGTGTGTGGCTGACTGTGTTTGCTGTGTGTAGGTCCTTGTCTGGCCGTATAGTTGGTGGTGTGTGGTGGTTTTTCACTCTCATCATCATCTCCTCCTACACGGCTAACCTGGCTGCCTTTCTCACTGTGGAGAGGATGGTGTCACCTATCGAGAGTGCTGAAGACTTGGCCAAACAGACTGAGATTGCCTATGGGACACTGGATGCAGGCTCCACCAAAGAGTTCTTTAGGGTGAGTGGACCAGTGTGGACAGTATGGAAGGGCTGCAGACAGGCACTGTCCTAACTAGCCACAGCCCAACCATCAGTAACAAATGAAAAATAACATATTTTCCTTAGACCTTAAATACATATGCGTATACACATAGTTTTAAAAAATATGTTTTTAAAGGGGTCATCGAATGCCCATTTTCCACAAGTTGATATGATTCTTTAGGGTCTTAATGAAAAGTCTATAACATACTTTGGTAAAAATTTCTCAATGGTAGTGTAAAACAACACCCGTTTTACCCTTTCAAAAACAGCTCTGTTTACAGCAAGCCATTTCGGTGCATGTCCCTTTAAATGCTGATGAGCTCTGCTCACCCCGCCCCTCTCTTCCGTGGGGTGACGAACCGTTCTCATGAGACTGTAAACTGTAGCTGCATTCATCGTTAAACTTGCAAACTAGCACATTATTAGGAAAGGCGATTTGCAAAGATTCATTAAAAAAACATGCTTCTTCTGTAGGTGAAGCTGGATCATGAATAATTCGCGCGAACATAGACGCATTTAGGTACATCGGGGGCGCATTCCCTTTAAAAACAAAAGTAATCATCTGCGTCTTCAGCGGCTCAGACGTCTGGAATAAACGACGACTGCTATGTTCATTATTACATCCAACAACAAAACACCTCAATCGCTTAGGAGACATTCTTGTCAACACCTGGTCCAGCATTGAAACAATGGTGGACTTGACCGCTCACTCAGGGCAGAACTGTGATAAAATGTCAGTGTCAATCAACAATCGTGGGAGGGGCCTGTGCAGAACTACGTCACTCTGCCAAGAATCTGAGAACAGCTTGATCTGAGACACTGCTCATGATTTATTGGGATTAAAAAAAAGAACACTGGGTGGATTTTTATCATTATAGGGTGGTTGTGTACACACACTGCCAACACATATTTCAGTTCAAACAACATGTAAAAGTGAATTTTGCATCTGATGTCCCCTTTAAAGATACAATGTATTTTTTTACCAATCTTGAATTATTTATTCATAAATTACATTATGTTTTTGTCATGTCATGAATAAGATTAAGACATTTATAAATGTTTTTCAAATATTTATATTTTAGAAAAAAACTCTGCCACTGCTTAAGAGAATAAGAAATAATAAACATAAACGTTATGCCAATAGGAATAGTTTACCCAATAATACAAATTTGAAAAAAAAAAAACTTGACTCACCCTCCGGTCATCCAAGATGTGGATGACTTTGTTTATTAGCATTACATCACTTGCTCAGTAATGGATCCTCTGTAGTGAATGGGTGCCGTCAGAATGACAGTTCAAACAGCTGATAAAGACAACACAATAAACTGCAAGTAAAGCTTTGAAGCCAAAAGCTGCATGTTTGTTATATACAATCCATCATTAAGGTGATTAAACTTTAAACCGTTGGTAACTCCTTAGTATAGGGAGCTATTCTTGCTATTAACTAGTTGCTTATTACCATGGCTGTTAAATATTAAACATTTTAAACACTATTAAAATATTGGCTGTTTATTAGAACTTATAAAGCACATATTCTGCATGACCATATTCTACATCCATAATCCTACCAAATACCTAAACGTAACAACTACCTTATTACCTATTAATAAGCAAAAAATTAGGAGTTTGTTGAGGCAAAAGTCGTAGTTAATGGTTTGTTAATAACGAGACTTGGACCTTAAAATAAAGTGTCACCAAACCGTGGATTCCAGCCAAAATACCAGTCCATAATTGGACTCTAATTCTGACGACACCCATTCACTGCAGAGGATCCATTTGTGAGCAAGTAATGTAATGCTAAATTTCTTCAAATCTTTTCCAATAAACAAACAAACATTTTTTAATAAATGAATAAATCCAGGCAAAAAACTTTAATGTTGTTGACTTATTCTTGACATTCAGATCTACAACGATAACCTTGACATAGCTAACCAGCATGTCCTCAGTAACCTGAATCTAAACCTCTCCTTTATCTCTTTCTTCACTTTAACCAGAGATCTAAGATTGCTCTCTTTGACAAGATGTGGCAGTACATGAAGAGCGCAGAGCCTTCTGTGTTTGTTAAAAACACAGTGGAAGGCGTTTTGCGTGTCCGAAAATCCAAAGGCAAATATGCTTACCTTCTGGAGTCCACTATGAATGAGTACATCGAGCAGCGCAAGCCCTGTGACACCATGAAGGTCGGAGGGAACCTTGACTCTAAAGGCTACGGCATCGCTACACCCAAGGGATCTGCTTTAAGGTGGGTGGAGTAGTATAACAATATGGCCCATGTTGTTATAGTATCCCACCTACCCTGATGTAGGCCGGGGGTCCCCCTTTAAAATGAGGTAAACTAGGTAACAGCAGTGCTGAGTGTAGGGATGTATGGCAAAAACAGCAGTGTAGAGAGTTACAAAGAAAACTGCAGATAGTGAGGGCTTTAAAAATCCTAGTTGACAGCTGACAAGTAGGTTGCCTAGCAACCAGTGCTCTCTGAGACTGATGGTGTAGAAAATGGAGTATAGTGTAGTCTGAAACAAACAGGTAATTATCTTAACATAAGCTTAATAACAAATTCAGTTTTAAGATTTTAACAGGGAGTGAGTGAGCACCATAATAAATGCAAAATGACTTAAGATTATATAAAAATTATTAGGGCTGTCAGATGAAAATATTTGATTGTGGACAATTTCATATTTTTTTTGTATTTAACACATTAATGCATTCAATTGATTTTTTTGTGAAGTTAAATAGTAGCCTACTTGTAATTATTGATTTGAGGTAATTTTTTGGCTATATGTGCATCTGCAATAATAAAATAATGTAATAATTTTCACATACTTAATGGACTCCAATGGACTATTTTATGCTTGTTGAGCTTGCTAACTAACAGTGCTGTAAGCAATTATTTTTTGGAATTGCACTCCTAAATTGTTCCTGCTGAATAGCTTCCTACATTTATCGATAGATCCAATATTAAGAGTAAGGATTCGATATTAAGAAAACTTATCTCTAAAATGAGTAATGGTAAATAATAATAAAAATGATTTTGTTGGTTCAGGTTTGCAAATATGTGAAAAATGCGTTAATGGTGTTAAATAATTTATTATATAGCTTTTGTTATCGTTATTATTAGGGATGCACAATATTATCTGAAGGTTATTGGAATCGGCCGATAACGGCTTAAAATGTAAACAATGGCCGATTTGAACAAATTATGCCAATAAGCCTTGCCGACAAGACGGATAGCTCACATGTGCTCAGGGTGTGATAGTGATAAGATCACGTCAGCAGTGTGGTCATTCTTGAAGCGAACTTTTGCCTGAATGATGATTAGATTCACTGTTTTGGATCGTTGCATTTAACTTGAGAATTAGTGTTGGGTAGTTCTTGAACGATTCGTTCATTTTGAACGAATCTTTAATGTGACTCGGAAAGAACGAGTCGTCTCGGGGAGTGATTCGTTCAGTCGCGCATGCGCAACATCCTATAGGTTCTGTACTGGAATTAGTCAAGTAGTTCACCTGTTTCGAGTCTTCGGGTTTTTCGAGTCATTTGTTGAATGCACTACACAACGACGTGATTTGCGATAGAGTGAACATTCACTAGTGCATACAATAGCAGCAGCAGCCTCCCCCGGGTCCTAATGCCCATCCCCAAGGCGTTTTATTTACTTAGGGGGCGCTGTTGGTCTACTTGTAATATAATGAAAGTAAAATACACAAATATTATTAAAGCGGTCATATGATGCGATTTCAATTTTTCCTTTCTCTTTGGAGTTACAAGCTCTTGGTGCATAAAGAAGATCTGTAAAGTTGCAAAGACTAAAGTCTCAAATGTGTTTCTGAATACATAAAGCCGTTTCAATGTCATAAATGTCTGTTTTGATTTAAAGGCTAAAAGCTATAGTTTCCATGAATAAAAATCACAAAAACTTATAAAGTAAATAATTTAATATATACAGATGTATTCATTAATAATTACAATATATATTTTTCAAATGGATTATGGAAACTTATATACAATGTACTCTCATTAAAAGAAGAACTTTAATAATGTTTTTTAGTTCTAAAAAAATAAGTTTTTGCTCAAAAATAACCAAAATTAAAAACAATTTGTTTATAATTTCCACACAGGAGAGATTTGGTGTTGTTTCAGAACAAAGGGAAATATATATTGGTATTGGCATTGGCTATCTGCCAAAATGATTTGAAAAATATTGGATATTGGCAAAAATCTAATATCGTGCATCCCTAGTTCTTATTTTGACAGCCCTAAACGTAATATATTAGTTCATGTGATTCTTTTCCAGGAATTAACAGGTCTACTCATGGAGCTCAGTAAATAATTGAAGAGAAGGTTTCAGATGTGTTTTATCCAATAGTCTTCAGGTTCTGAAGCCTTTTTTCCACCTGTTTTGCTGATAATAAACTGCCATGTGTTCACTGAAGCAAACATGTGGAAACTATTGTTAAACTAACATTAAACCCTCTCAAAAACAAAGCATAGTGTAGTAGTGAAAAACCGATAATATGTTTCTTTGTGGTTAGTATAACTCATTCCACTCATGTTTGCCTTTAGCATCTGTTTTATTGAATGCATGTCTGTTCTTAATGACTGAAGCAATGGCCTCTTGCAACCAGACTGTGTTATGACAAAAGCTATTTTTTGATAATGAGTAATAATCAATGCATGTGATTGGGCACTTGGATTTTGAATGGTCACCATAAGCATTAAAGAATGTTTAAGCTGATGATGCAGAGGCTGAAAACACAGTAACTTGATTATGAATGCATTTGATGATGCACTGTTTGAGCTATGCATGCTGTCTCTCTTGATACTTCTAACCAGATTTGTTTGCCTCAATGCTTAAAGTGTTTTCTGCTAACTGATTTGAGGATCTGTATGTGCGGTTGTGTAATAACTGATTCTATTGCTGATCCTCCTCTGTTCTAGCCTCCTGCCTCAAGAGTTTGAGTTTAAAAAAGAACTCTTAAAGCTCGACCACCTCATATTTAAATGGATTGATTAACGTCATTTTGATTGGTTGGTTGATTTGATGGATTGATTGATTGATGGATTGTCTAACCCAATGTTCCATTCATTCTATGCAACTTATGGGGGGCGTGGCCCATTGCAGCCCCGCCCCCTCATGCTGTCTGACAAGTATGTTTTATCGTTTGTTTAAGAAACGCGGTAAACCTTGCAGTGCTAAAACTGAACGAGCAGGGGCTTCTGGATAAATTGAAAAACAAATGGTGGTACGACAAAGGAGAGTGCGGCAGCGGAGGCGGGGAGTCAAAGGTCAGACCCGTGCTTGGGACTTATGGGTAAAAAATGAAATGAACGAAATGCAAATGAGCAGGAAGCACTACCAGCATTTCCAGAAAACAAGCCGAGGCACCAACAAATTTGATTATACCATCAGTTGGTCAGCAAGAGCTTTCAGTAAAACACATCTGCTCCAGAATGATATCGAAACAGCCTAAAAAAGGCATTCCCAGAGGCACACGGCTTGTCGGCGGACACTGTTTCTGCTTCCTGCTCGCGGCGATGAGTCTGTGCACATCTGGCACGGCAAAGCCGTGTTTGCCGACTGCCAAATGGAGCGCAGACTGCCGATCGCCACCACGCTCAGGGCTGAATCATTACCAGCACTGTTAGCGAGTGCAAATGTTACTGACAATAACATAAAATAACATTGGTAATGTTATTTATGTTATTTCCCATACGCGAAGAACGCCAGTAAACCTTGCAGTATTGAAACTCAGTGAGCAAGGCATCTTAGACAAGCTGAAAAACAAATGGTGGTACGATAAGGGAGAATGTGGAGCCAAGGACTCTGGAAGTAAGGTCAGTCACTGCAGGGAGCGTGTGTGTGTGTGTGTGTCTGGCAGGGCTAGAATGTGTACTGTATGTGAAGCCTGTGAAAACACTGTCTCAGTTTGGGAGATCCAAACCCAAGCATTAGCAGACTGTGTGTATGTATGTGTCTTTGTGTGTTCGGGAGGAAAAGAGTATGAGAGTGATATGAAAGGAAGCTTGTGCAAAAAAAGAAATACAGCCTATGGTAATGTGTGTGTATGTGTGTGTGTGTGTGTGTGTGTGTGTGTCAAAGCAAGTCCCCTACACAGATTTACCACCGCATGAATCATGAATTACTGACCTATGTATACAATCAATGATGCCTATACAAACAGGGATGTAATATAAACACACAGTAATGCATGCGAGTGACACATAGCGAAGACATATTTTATACACACTTAAGCGCGTACTTGATTCACATTCACGCACAAACACGCATAGACATACCTGTATAGGCTCAGAATTTCCTTGTGCTCCTTTGTATTTCTATGTGCTTTATTGACAACTTGTCCTGTTCCTTTTTATTTTTTATCTTTCTTACACTCTCTCTTTCTCCCTCCTATCTCTCTTTCTCTTTCCCATGCGGTCTCTCCTTCTCCTTCACCAATGCTGTAAATGTTGTTTGTATATTTGCCTTTTACTTCAGCTGTCTTTAATTGCATTGTCCTGTTGTACTTTGTAGCCGTCTATGTATTCTGTGTGATGTACTGTTAGACACTCACATATACACACTTAATACTGTACTGTTTTTATAGTGGTAATCTGTCATATATATATAGTGATAATCAGTAGTATTGGCATAATGTCATCTTTTCTCTCCCTTATCTTTGACCTTTGACCTTCAATCCCTTGCAGGAGAAGACTAGTGCCCTCAGCCTGAGTAATGTTGCGGGTGTCTTCTACATCCTGGTGGGCGGCCTCGGGTTGGCCATGCTGGTCGCTCTGGTGGAGTTCTGCTACAAGTCTCGCGCGGAGGCCAAACGCATGAAGGTTGCCAAGACTCAGACTCTAAATCCCTCCTCTTCCTCGCAGAATTCTCAGAATTTTGCTACTTATAAGGAAGGGTACAACGTTTATGGGCTGGAGAGTGTTAAGATCTAGTGGGGTAGGAACGGCAGAGGCTTTATTTTTGTCGTTTGTTCACAGTTTTTTTGTTTTTGTCATTTTTTTTATCGTATGCCAAATGCTTCATCGCCACTGCACGATCTTCCAGGCATCATGCTGATACACATTTTTCAAATATTTTAAAGGGGTCATATCTTAATTTTCATATTCGTAATTTCTTTGTTTTTCGCTGAGGTCCACAAATAAGATTTAATTTTAGGCTGTAATTTAGTTTTCCATATTTTTTTCACTCTCTTTCTGACTCTCTGAGAATTAAATAGGGCCTTTTTTTCCAACATAAAATCTAAATGGACCATATTTAATTAAATAATCTTTCTTCGGGGGAATCTTTCTTATTGTGGACTATTCAAGATGTTATTTTAAGGAAAAATGTTTGTGAAAAACAAAAATCGGGTCCGATATAGTTTGCCTATCCTTTATAACAGCCTCTTGTGCAAAGTCTGTATTACACTGTGACAGGTTTACAAAACAATCAACTATGGAATTTGCTACTATAACTTTTAAAGTTGGACGTTTAAAAATAAACTTGTCACCCTTTGGAAGTATCACCAGTTTACTGGAATAATAACATAATTCTGCTTTCTCCTCTTTATTATTTCACTGCAACAGGCAGATCACGTTTCTGAATTCCAGAGGCGGACAGTAACTAAGTACATTTACTTGAGTATTGTACTTAAGTACACTTTTTGAGTATCTGTACTTTACTTGAGTATTATTTTTTCTGGGAACTTATGACTTTAACTTCACTACATTTGAATTATATATATTTTATATATTTTTTACATATTTATTTATTTACAACAATTCAATAATAAGTTAATATTGTGGTATACATTACACACACTCTGCTGAATTCAGAACAGACATGTAAATATGGCATGTCTTAATATATACATTTAGTTCATGACCAAAATCCTAACTATTTTTGCATCTTACTTTCAGTAGTCTTTTTGGACTGGAGACGTTTTCAGTTCTGAATCTTCACGTAGTTGCCTATATTAAACAACACTATCATTCAAAAGTTTGTGATTTGTAAGATTTTTTAATTGTTTTTGAAAAAATCTCTTATGCTCACCCAGCCTGCATTTATCTGCATTAAAAACAGTAATATTGTGAAATATTATTACAGTTTAAAAAAAAAAAAAAATTTTTTTTCTATTTGAATATTTTTTTAAATGCAATTTATTCCTGTGATGGTAAAGCTGAATTTTCAGCAGCCATTACTCCAGTCTTCAGTGTCACATGATACTTCAGAAATCATTCTAAAATGCTGATTTGCTGCTCAAGAAACATTTCTTATTATCAGTGTTGAAAACAATCGAGCTGCTTAATATTTTTGTGGAAACCATGGTACATTTTTTTCAGGATTCTTTGAAGAATAGAACATTTAAAACAGCATTTATTTGAAACAGAAATCTTTTGTAACATTATACATTTCTTTGTGTTACTCGTGATCAATTTAATGCATCCTTTAAAAAAAAAAAAACATCTTATGGTCTCCAGAATTTTGAATGGTACATCAAATGATTTTTTTTTTTTCATGATATGACCTCTTTAAAAAACAATATCACACAAGCAATTGTTTGACAGCACAGTTTTGGTAAACTGTGGCTACACACACAATTTATGTGATCAAGATTACAGATTAAAGAAATTAGGTAGAAAAAGGATAAACAAAGGGAGAGTAAAATATATGGATAAATATAAAAGATGGATGGTTCATAGAGAAATGAATTAATTTTAGCTGGCGTGCCATCATTTTACGTTTGTTTATCATCATTGGCATTTGTGGTTGTTTGTGGATTGGCTGCACCGCTTGCTTTTGATATAAAGCTCCGCCATCTTAATGCGAGACCCATTAGCTGTCAATCATTCTCCACCCCATCTGCTCTTCATAAACATCTACAGTTTATATAGATGTTATATATAAAATAAATCTGTATTTCACTTAACATGCACTGTATAACTTTAATGAATGCTTATTTTTTTCTCTTTCTGTCTCCTTGTGTGTGAATTTGGGTGTGAATCGCTGTGTATTCATATATTCTGTTTGTGTGGGTGTGTGTTTGGAAACAGATGACGTTCACAGATGCTATGCGCAGTAAGGCCAGGTTGTCTATAACGGGCAGTACAGGGGAGAACGGGCGAGTGCTGACTCCAGACTTCTCTAAAGCCGTCCATGCTGTGCCGTACCTGAGACCTGGCATGGCAATGCCTCTGAGTGTGAGCGAGCTGTCCTGAGTGCCTTACATAGACACACACACACACACACACACACACTGGTGCAAGCATGCTGTACCTCCACTTTCATACATATGCATACACGTACATATTCTTACACACAAAGAAATATAAATATATATATATATATAATATTATATATATACATATACATAATAATAGTTAATTATTCCATATACAATGAACCACGACATCTACACAGAGGATGCCAAATCCATACATGCATAGACACACTTTCACTTATGTTTACTGTTCAGTGCAATCATATTTTGACCAGCGGTGATGTATACAACCAACATTTGCAAAAAAAAACAAAAACATGCTGACAGACATAAAAAAGTATACAGGCACATTGCTGTGTGTACATATGCAGATAACTTCACAAACCTTGTGTAGCCACGATCCTATAGTTTCTTGTTGTGTATATTTTACATAACTGCATTTCCAAGTTCTCGTTTTGTCACACACTTGAATATGCACATATAATATGACCTCATTTCCCTCATATATTCATCACACACTTGCCCCACTTCAGTTTTCACAGACGTTTTCACATTGTAAGTGATGACATTGCAATGCTGCACTGAGGAACAACGTTACACATTGAAAATAATTCCTATGGGAAAATCTCCACACCTGTTTCCATAGCAACGTGTTTTTGGAATCTCTGATTCTCAAGAGCTCAAGCACACGAAACATCTGCATCAAATGTGATTTTGTTTACTCAATCTACATGATATATATATATAAAAAAAAAAGTCTGACTGGAATCATTTCTTATTATATGAGATATGTATAATAAATGATGTATATAATTACACTTTTGTTCATTTGATGTTAATGTTACCATGCAAATGCTTGACTTAAACATATTTGAGTAGTTTTGTTTCTCCTCACTGGTTTGATTTTTTGTGATGTTAATTTTTTGGATCATTGTGTTCAGATCCGTTTTTTGGGCGATGCAAGCAGTAGTTTTATAATTCTATAAGTCTTTTGATTAAAAGAAAAAAACAATTAAAGAATACTATAACTTCTGCATTTCACAATTGAGATGGTATATTATAAGTGTCATATCGATTAAGATGGATCTGTATATTAATATATGAACTTAATATAATATTTTATAAAACCCCAAAATGCCAAATATTGATGTGTGCCAAAATATGTCAAGGCATTTCAGATGCATTTATTAATATTGTCTCTGTATGGGGAAATGTGACGACTGAAAATTAGCACCCTATAATCAGAGGTTTGTTATTTATGTCATCTTTGGCTTTTTTGTTTTGTTTTGTTTTGTTTTTCATATCAGATTAATAAGGTGCACTACGATATGCAGTTTTAACTGTGAAAAGCATGACAACCTTTAGTTGTGTTTGTTTTATAAAAGCGATGATTAAGTATATCACTAATATTAGTTAACTAGGACTTTCATTTATGTAGTCCAGTTATGACCTTCAGACTAAGAGATAGAGATGATTATTACAGATAGTTATATTGATAAAGTATAAGCCGATCACCCTTTTCTATGCCATGCTGTGTAACTGAAATCTTGTTCATTAGTTTTATATGTATATGTACTGTACATGTAAATAGAAACCGTGTATAACTTAAAATCTTGGATGATACACCAATTCACACAGATGCACACAAGAGGATTGCTCATATTGTGCATTTGGGAGCACGACCGTCGTATCAAGCTGTCTCTCACATACAGACACACAAATGGACTTGTCATCACTAGCATCATTTCAGTTGGAGAGTCTGCCATGGGATGAAATGGAGGACGTTTTTCTAAATGGAATGTGGACCGATTGCTTTATTTTTTGGAATCTTTTGGAATAAACAGAGACTGAGAATCCTCTGATATTCTGTTTTCATCTGTTTCATGGGAAGGAGAAAAGTGCCGCAGGAAGGGGTTGACAAGCATGTCAGCTGTTCACTCAAATTCACATCTTGGGTCCAAAATTAACACACAGATGAAAATGTTGAAACAGCTTATCTAGGATGCCTATTTTTTTTCCTACAGAACATGTGGCAACATATTTGTGGAATATTCCTCGCATTAAGCTACCAAAGCCAAACTGAGCAACAAAATCATGTTTTTATGACGGGTGCAGCTTCACAGAAATGCAGCAACTGCTGCAACTCAATGACCTGGACTGATGTAATAAAAAGCTAAATAATTCCATTAGAACAAAATGTATTTTGAATAAAAATGTAAAAAAAATAATGTAAAATACAAAATAAATGTAAAGTAATTTAAAATACATTTTCATGGTCGGTAAGAAATTATTAGTCTTCTCAATTCATCAGATCATTACCTCAGTGTAAAGTGGATATACAACTAGCAGTTGTCTTTCTTTCACTGTTTTCTCTGCCTTTTACCAATAGTGAGTTGTACACTGACAGAGCCCTGAGCCAATGAAGAGTTTGTTGATTTGTGCAAGCTAATGTGCTTTGAGCAACTCAGTAACACAGGAACAGATGTGGCCCTGTTCAGAATGGACTGGGGACACATTAGTGTTGTGCTTCCATGTACTCATAAACAAGCTACGGTACTTTAACCAAGTGTTTCTGATTGCCTGGTAATCTTTTGGGGTGAGGAAAATTGCCAAAATGTATGTGTGTGTGCTTTCCTATTGATTTCTTAGTAAAATACCAGTGCCTATTGCCTGATGTTCAGTTGATGCAATGTTATTGTTCTGGGACATACATAAACACACACAGTCTCTTTTTAATCTCTTTTTAGGCAAGGCTCCCTGGCAAACAGACCGACATAGCATCTGCAGCTCAGCAGTTGAGTTTCCTCTTGCTGTGTCTAGTTCCTTATTAGCTTTATCAGCCAATAAGAAATCAGTATAGCCAAACATAGTTGTGTCTCTTGTAGCCAATTAACGCTCAGTGTCAAATCAATTAACGAAGCACATTCAGGTCAGTTTGTAATCATGGTTATAGTCACACTTGTATTGTTCACGGTCAGAAATTACTGCACTGGAAATGAATGGGAAGCAAATTTCATCTAGTAGAAACATTTGGTACTGCGCCCAAACAAAATCTTACTGAAAGCTAACTTTTTGAGATATCAACCAAAAATTTGGAACACAACTTCTTTAGATTTCTGGCTTTTTTTTCTTTTTTTTTTTTTTGCAGTTTTAGAGTAAAACATATTTTGAAAAATATATATTTCATATAACATTTTGAAATTGCATTTTTGTGCACTTTTCATAATAATAAACGTAAACTTCTATAACCTTGTTTAGTTTCACTTTTTAAGTTTTTTTCCCCCACTTAATCTGCCAAGTGTCTTCTTTAAAAAGAGACTAAACTTAAGTGTGCGCTCCAAAGCATTCAAGATTTACCACAGTTTAAGTTGGAAATTTTATTTTCAGGTCTATGCACGGAAAGTGGTTACCGTGCAATAAATGGATCATAACTATTCCAGAAATATAAGTCCCCTAACCATACACAATATTACATAAAAAACATTACCAAACTAAAATATAGCGCATTCATTAGATTGAAATAAATAAACAACACCAGAGTGTTAATGGGGTACCTCTGGGTTTAGTGCTGGACTCAAACCTCTTCTCAATATACAAAACATATAGATGGGACCAAACATCCAGGTACATTGCTTTTTCTATGTATGCAGCACTGACACACAGCTCTACTTTTCAATGCAGCTTTACAATCCCACAGGGAATGCACAGATCTTGGCCTGAATGAAAGAACACCACCTCCAGCTCAGCCTAGCCAAGATAGAGCTCCTTATTTTCCCAGCCAGCTTGGCAATTCATCACAACATCACAGTTTAGCCAGGCTCATCAACAGTAACACCATCCAGGATTATGGATCGGGCCAGTGCCTTGGGGCATCAGACTATCAAGGGCCTTCAAAGTCTTAAATTCTGAGAGTTCCAAAGGAAGCTGAGCTATTTGTACATAGAGTATGAGCTGAACACCCCTGGGCCATTCTGCACATAAGGCACGTTCCTTAACATACAAGGGTCCCTGCTCCCCTCAGCATACAATGCAGGACAGGCCCCAGAAACTATTTTTAGTCTAATGTTAGCTACCAGAACATGCATTTTCTTTTTTTCTGTTTCTGTGGTCTCCAACAAACCCAAGAAAGCGTGTATTGCACCTTTCACTAGCGAAGTTTACATGCAAACAAATCATCTGATTAATGGCTCAATCTGATTGAATAGCCTTCAAGTAGACTTAGTCCAAATTAAATTTCTATCAGGTTGGAAGGGGTGGTGTATAGACCTGAAACAATCCAAACATAATCCGACTATTTTCTCAAATAGATTCAAAAATACTTATGTGCAAATGCGCAGTTGTGTGATGTGTACGTTTTACATCTTTCACACGTGTGTTTATTAGCATCTTACAAACTGGTCAGTTTTGTTCAAAGTACATGTAGCGCACATGCAAACAAATATGTAAATTGCAATGCAAAGTTTAGGGTACATATAAAGAGAATGATTTGAATTTGAAATCAAATTGGATTCATTAGGATTGACCAAATGTAGTGAAAATAACATAACTGTCTCACACTCTCACTCCACTGACTTCCAGTTGATCCATGCGAGTTCAAGGCACTGATGCTTGTGTACAGAACAGTCACTTGGTATGCAGCCTAAGCAAATGTATGTTCCCTTCAGAAATCTGGGGTCAGTGAGTCAGTTGTGTGTCATGGCACAAACACAAAGAGGCACAAAATCAATACTGATTTGATCAGATCAAATCTGATTTCCTATATCTATCTTCAGAAAACGGCAACTTTTTTTGTGAGCTCCTGGTTTATAATTGTTAATGCAGTACAAAAAGCGGTGCGTTTTATTAGAATAAGTTCAAAATGTAGTCTCTTTCTGTTATCTTACACTGTGTCTCACTTCTGTCACAATTTTTAAATATAGTTTTCTGAACAATTCTAGAATTTTGTATTGCTTGTTATTTTCTCCATAAGATGAACCAATTTTGTTGTAGGCCTAGTATCAATCATTTGTAAGTTGCATTGAATAAAAATGTATAAGTAAAATCGAGAAAAGTTGTCAAATCCTTCATTTTCTGTTTCATCTTATATAACAATGTTTCACTAAAATTATAATGGTGTTATCTTTTTCAGTTCACATAAAAAGGAAAGATTGACCTGTGCAGTGAGGTGTCTTTACTGAGTGATTTGAAATTCCCCTTCAAATTAGTTGAATAGAGGCCTATTGAGCTGAGAAAGTGCTTTAACTCTTATTCAGTGTCCATACAACATCCAAACGCCTAATAAAGACTAGCCTACATTGTTAACTGTAATAGCTGAACTGGGATACAATAGATATTCTCTTAATATCTAATTTAATTTAATATCTTAATATCTAATCCCATCAAATAATCAATATTTTCATGTTAGGCCATTAAGGCACTCGTTCATTCTTATGGTGGAAGCTGTCTGTGGCCATGATTAGTTGTGATTTGTGTTTGTAGTCTGACCACTTTAAATGAAGATTAACAGAAATATTCTAAAATGATAATAATAAATAAATAAAATAAAATAATGAATTGTTAAAGAATTTTACTTTAAAACATTGAGTGGTGTTTGGCCATGCAAACGTCACTTGCAGGCAACCTGAATGCACACAGTGTGATTTCTGATAAGCATGGGTCAGCCCTTTAATCTTTTTTCTGATTTCTCACGACAATTATTTCAATGATATCGTCATTATGTGGCATTTTAAAAATTGTTCACAGGACCTTAGGGATAGTAAGGGATAGTAAAAATAAAAATGTTGTCATCATTTACTCATCCTCATGTCGTTTCAAACATGACGTTCATTATCGAAACACAAATGTGTGCCGATCATTGTAAATAAAAACATATTAAATCTGTCCATGACAAAGCGACTACCTCTGTTCCCTCGTCATGCCTTTATGGCCTTTTTGGTTACCTGGACTTCCAATAGAGAGACAGAAACCGCAGGTTTCTTTAAAATATTTGATTTCGTGTTTCAAAGATTAACAAAAGTAAACAATGGCTATTTCTGGGTGAACTATTTCTTTAAGAGACAGAGCTGAAATGACAAGATATCTGACAGTGTATGCAATAACAACAAATCACACTGAAAATGTCAAATTCTGAAATAAAGAGGTACTAAAATCAAGTATTGAATTCTATACCAATTTTATTCACTCACTCACCAACATACATTTTCTGAACGTGGCCCCAATCTGCACAATTTGCTTATCCACAATCCCAAATTTGAGCTAAATGAATGCAGCACTTTAGCACAATGTTTGAGGACAAGCTCAAAAATGAAACAGAATGAATCTAGGATTATCAGTGCCTATGCTGTTAATGTGTAAAAGTATATGGTAGTTTGCAGAAGTCTGTGAAAAATGTTTGAGAATGCGACTGTTGTGAGCAGTGATGCCCTCTAGTGGTGGTGATTATGCGTAGATAAGGCTGGTGACAGGCAAGCAAAGCTTTTAAAGTTAGGGAAGGCAATTCTTTTAATTCATTCATTCACTTTTTGTTATACTGGCTGAAAGTCTCTTCACATCCTGATCAATAATTATAAGAGATCTAAATATAACCCTCTATGGGATATCGTCATTTATAAATTACGCTAAGAAAATTGCATTTAAATACAATATTAATGTCCACCCAACAAAATTTTATTTTAGTGATGTCAAATGACATCCCCTTCAACCAGTAAAATTATTTTTTTTTTAGCCATGTGCTTCACATGTTTTGGTAACAAAGTAGAAAAGGAGACATTAGCACATCCCTTACCAAAAAGTAGTATACTTCAAGTTTATTTTATTATAGATAGAATCGATTAACACCCCAAAGCTTGACGGTCATAATTACCTCTTCATTGGTCGACATTTTATTCCATAACGTTACACAGTTTTGATGCTGTTTTATGTCTGATGATCGTGTTACATGTGGAAGCATCTGTTGTTTCGGTTTCTTCTTCACTTTTTTGGAAATTCTGTACAGAAAATGTGTACTAGCGCCCACTACCGTATAACAATGAAAACACGGATTCTAGGAGCACAAGTATAGCTCAAATATATTTAGACTTTTTCTAAGTATAAGTCAAGTATACTTAAATGTCATTTTAAGTATATTTCTGAGAAGTACATAAAGCCCATTTCTGAGAAGTACATAAAAAGTAAACTAAAAGTATACTTTCCTATTTTTTAGTTTAAAAGAACTATACTAATAGCACACTTGAATAAACGTATTTTTCCGTAAGGGATGTTAGGTCACATGCTCTCAAGGCTCCATAGTGAGTTAATTGTATACTAGAAAATACATATAAATTTAAGTTATAAAAAAATATAATTGTACATCCAAATGTGTTTTCTGAAATTGTTGTCATTTTTAATGCACTTTTATAAAAACAATAACTCAGAGACCAAAAAATCTGAGTGTCATGCATAACTGACAAGTACTATTGTGGGATGCATATTTTGTGTAGCTGGCACTATTGACCAGCATTGGCAGGCAGTATAATAGCCTTTATGCATGTGTTTTAGGTTCATTTTTGTAAGATTTTTGTAAGATGGAGAGACAAATCTGTATTTATTAAGTATTGATGATAGTGATAAGAGTGCATCAGAAAATCAGGTTGTTGGAGTAAGAAAAGAAGTTGTTGAGGACCAAGGAGGATAGAAGCAATGAGGGTAAGGGCAGTGATGAAGAATAGGTTTTTGTAGAAGTTAGGCATTTGGGTACATTATTGTATGCCAGTTTGAAAGATGTGATTTATACAACAACCAGAGGTCAGGAAAGATGCCAATGTCTATACTGACAGTGACAGGCAGCAATGCTCCAATGATGACTGCACAAGTCAAAATCTACTTGCGTGTGGAATGTGTGAGGTACACTGAAAAAGAAGAATCTTGTAGACATTCACTTGTGCTATGATAATTGTTTTGAAATGCCAAGATGAAACACAATGTTAAAGTTGTTTTAATGCTTTTGAAGCACTAAGATATGGTTTTCAGGCAGTGAAATTGCATCTGAATTTGTGTCAAGTTTTAGACATTTTCAGTGAGTTCCAAATGAAATATAGCAGCACAAGAAAACAAAAATTGAATGTTCATAAAGATTTTTAATGTTTTTTGAAACAGTAAGACCTTTTCACTTCTATTCAGATAGTGAAAAAGCATTTGATTGTGTGTAAAGTTTCAGACAATTTGCCAAACATAATTTACCCTAATGGGATAATGTCAGTTATAAACGATGGAACCCTAAACAAAAGGTCAAAGGTCAGATGTAGAAAACAAAGTTTAGGCAAAATATATGTAATATATAAAGTCAATTCTTTTTTCAAGCTGTGAATTCACAATTCGTCCCATAGAGGGATAAAATATATAAATATATCTTCTGTGGAAGTCGACTCAAGACAAATTTTCGTCCAGTCATTGCATGTACTACCTGCATGTCGACCTATGTATTTGAATACTTCTGTGCAGCCAATAGCGAGAGTTTGGGAGTTTGAGAGACTGCAAAATTCAAAGACTTGCCAAAATATGCAGAGACAACGAGGTACAACAAGGGTAAACACTGACAGAGTTTTTACAAGATGGAAAAACTTAAAGGGGTCATATGATGCAATTTCATTTTTTCCTTTCTCTTTGGAGTGTTACAAGCTCTTGGTGCATAAAGAAGATCTCTAAAGTTGCAAAGACTAAAGTCTCAAATCCAAAGAGATATTCTTTATAAAAGTTAAGAGTCAGCCACACCCCCCTAAAACGGCTCGTTCGAACACGCCCCCACATATCTACCTAACTGTGTGGGAAGATTTGCATAACGCCACACAAATGTTCACGCAAAGAAAGAAGGCATAACTTTTATTCTCACTGTAGTATTGTTGCCCTTTCCTAAGCCTTCAGATAGGCGAATTCCTGTCCTCCTTCCAGTCTGTATTCCCTGAGACTTTCACTCCGAAACTACACTATCTCATTCATTATCCTCAACTGATACTAAAGTTTGTCCCACTGAAACCGCTGTGGTGCATGAGATTCGAGGGGAAGCACCAATACTTCAAGCGATTAGCCCACAACACGTGTAACTTCAAGAATCTCAGCTACACCCTTGCCAGGAGGCACCAGTTAAGGCAGTGCTGGGAACTGACTTCGCTGGATTCCCTGCATCAGAACAATTACACGGAGGGTGAACGGGCAGTACCTTTTCGAGCATTACCACTGGAGATACAGAAAGGTGTGATTGGAAGAATTGAGGCAGAGGATATTCAGGGTGACGAGAGGCTTGGTGTGTTCAGCTCTCTTATGACCAACAACGTGAAATACTGTGTGGGAGACAACTTAATTATAGATATTGTGGAGGAGGACATCCCAATCTTTATAAAGATTGTGAAGATTTTGCGATTCAGGGGTGCTTGGATGATCTTTGGCAAGCTGCGGATACCAAAAACATTTGAAAGACATTACCATGCTTTCAAATTGGAGGACCAGAAGGAGTGGATTCTGGTTCAGCCAGGGGAGGAGAAAGAATTTCATCCTCTTGATGCATATGTGCATGATGATACTGAGTACATTGCATTATATCACAGAGTGCAGTCTTCTAGGTAAATATATTGTACTTCTGTGGTATGTCTCTCTCATCAATTATTTCTTGTTTGGAATATGAATTTTTTTATTTTTTTTTACAGAGCAGCAAATTGATGGGGAGACTCTGCTGGGTCTCACAGAAAGGATGGTGGAAAGACTTTTTCCTGTAATGAAACATCAGGTGACATTTATGAAGGAGCTTAATAAGTTAAAAAAGTAAGTCAGTCTTTTTAAATATTGAACATTGTTGTTAAATATAAAACAAATTTATGCTAACTAAGCTTAAAGTCCTTATCTTAATTTATATTTTATTTTTCTTCAAACAGCCTGGAAACTGACGAGCCTCGGATATCTTATACTCCGTATGTATCATTATGAGATTCAAAGTAATCAAAGTGGATCTGACGTGGTAGCATTTTGAATGTTCTTCAGTTATCAGTAATGTTGACATTCAAACACTTTACAAAGCTTGGAAGAGCCAGGATATTATTAAATATAACTCAGATTGTGTTGAACTGAAGAAAGAAAGTCTAGGTCACATCTAGGTTGGCTTATTGGTGAGTAAATTATGGGGTAATTTGATGACTTCTGTTAATTGGTGAAAAGCACTCAAAAGGTAAATGTTTGTTTTACAGGAACCCAAAGGTCCTACACCAACCATCGTGTTCAACGGCTCTCCTGATCCCCTCAAGTCTGAAAGTGTCAGCATTATAATGGACAACGTGAACATTATAAGAGAGGCAGACATTGACATGACACAGGCTGTGGAATGCCTGTTTGCAGTCTACTTTCTTTTCAATGTGCAATACCCGGTTGCCATTAAGCACACAATGACTTTTATTCAAAAATATATGCTTAAACTTAGATGTCGCAATGACACAAGAACACCAATACCAGTACTAAAAATGTACAGTCAACTTGTGTAAATTGTAGTGCTGTTTAATAGATGTTTCAATTGTTCATGTATTGTTTTTATCTGCATTGATTTGTTTTTCCTCATTTCAGAGATACATGTATAAGTTAAGTACTGTTTATGTATTGTATGTACATATACAAGCTTATGTATGTTTATTAAAAAGTGAAAATGCTGAAGTGAAATAATTAAAACTAAATGGTTGAATGTAATTAAACATTTTAAATGTAAAATAATTTAAAGTTTTGCTGTCTAATACAGAATATACAGAGGTGCAATTTTAAATCTGACACTATTTTTGTATAATAAATTGAATAAATTTAAACTTTTTGAATTTTCTGGATTGGTTATATTTTCTTATTAAATAATAAATAACTTTTAATAATAAAGAACCCTTAAATGGTTCTAAAAAGAACCATCTAACTTGGATTCAAAGAACCATTTGGGGTTCTTTTTAATGAACCCATTAAAATGGTTCTATATAGAACCATTTTGGGGTTCTATATATGAAGCGGGTGATATAACCATTTCTGGTTCTAAATAGAACCATTTCTTTTAAGAGTGTACCCTACCTTAATTTTCATTCAAAAATAATCGCATTCGGGGTGACATGAGGATGAATAAATTATTTAAAATTGTAATGAGTAAATGATTCATTACATTTTTTCTATGCAGCTTTAAACATGTAACCACATCTCATATCAAAGCATATTTACACAATGTAAATACTGTAGTTATTTGTATAATCGGCAGTAATAATAAACCTTTTTCCCACTATCACACTGAAAATGTCAGTAATGACGTACCTATTAATGACAGACAAATATAGGATTGAGGATATTTGAAGTGCTCACCTTTATTAAAAGGCTCATATTATTAGTCAAATCATGTTTTTCTTTAAAAAATAATGTCAACATGTAGTTGACAACATACGTGGTTTCGCAACATGGTTTCAGGCTTTACTGTATGACCATGCAGTCAGAGTTTTGCTCCCACCCTGATCAACTCACCTGCTTGTTCACATGTTTGATTAATGTTTGGAGGTCAATAATTATAAAATATGTACAAATATGCTAGCTCTCTAGTTACAGATAGAAATATCTTGCTACAGATAGAAACACTAGAAATTAAAAAAAAGTGTTTGATTGATCAGAAGCAACACTATGAGATATTTATTCCTTGCAGTTGCAACGTTTGGACGCTAGGATCTCTTCAGTGTGACTCAGTATCTCTGGGAAGTATCAGACAAGATATGTTAGTACAAGATTCACACAAGAGTGAAAACCTGCAGAATTGTCTTAACTAGATTAAAATAAGTACTAAAATAAAGGTGTTAAGTCATTCACCTGGTCTAGTTCCACATTGACCACTGTAGAGTCGTAGTTGTTGTTGCAGGTGGCTTTGCAGGCAAATGCTGAGATACAGATGGAGATGATGAACTGAAGGATGGAGAACACCAGCAATATTCCAATGACCCCAAAACCAAATCTCTAAATAAACACATTCAACATGCACATATATGAAAGCAGTTCCACAAATAACATCCTAGCAATTATATAGTTTATCAAAAATTATATTGAAAAATTATATTATACAGGAAACAGTTATTCTGTTGATAAGGGTATGTAACACAAATTTACATTATGTCATCATTTACTTGAAATGCAAAAGAAGCCATTTTGAAAACAGCTTTAATGCAATTGCAATGAATAAAGCTTGAGCTTTCAGACTTCAAAAAGTACAATAAATAAATACATAAATAACAAAACAAAGCTTTATCAAATGGGTTCATACAACCTGTGCATTATATTCCGAATTTTTTCAAATCATCCAACAGCTTTATGTGAGGAACAAACTGAGGATTATGTCAAGATATTAAGTGATTAATGACTTAAAAGTAAATGATGACTATCTTAATTTTTGGGTGTACTTTTAAGTAAATAAAACAGCAAATGCTAGCTGAAATACAAATTAAAACAAAATATTGCACATTTAGTACCTCAATATTTATACAGTCATGAATATTGTAGCAGCTTCGAGGGTGCAGTGGGCCTATTCTTATTTCATTGCCGGTCAGAAGAATGGCTATTGCTGAAGTTATGGCACTGAACACATTCATTCCATGAGAGGCTTTCACCTACAGGGAGAAAAGTAATAAAATTGTAAAGTAATAAGTAAAGTAACAAGTTTGATATCTTTATCTGTTAGTGGTAAAAGGATGAAAGCTTATTGTGCTAAAAAGCTGAGAGTAATGTCTGAGAAGAAGCATCAGCTACACAGTTTGTTGCTGGCTGTACTTTGGTCTTTCTCTTGCAGAAACATAAATACACACATATATGTGACCCTGGACCACAAAACCAGTCATAAGGGTCAATTTTTTGAAATTGAGATTTATACATAATCTGAAAGCTGAATAAATAAGCTTTCTTATGGTTTGTTAGGATAGGACAGCATTTGAAAATCACCTTTAAAGTTGTCCAAATTAAGTTCTTAGCAATGCATATTACTAATCAAAAATGAAGTTTTGATATATTTACGGTAGGAAATTTACAAAATATCTTCATGGAACATGATCTTTACTTAATATCCTAATGATTTTTGGCATAAAAGAAAAATCGATAATTTTGACCCATACAATGTTTTTTTTTTGGCTATTGCTAAAAATATACCCCACAACCCTAATCCTACCCATTGCGTAGCATATACACGCCAAAGTCAATTTTTGCGTATCAGTACCACGAGTTTTTGTTTTTATTTGGCGTACTATTTATACACACTTGACAACATTTTTAGCTAAATCTAGAAAGCTAGATCAGGAAACAAGCTTGGGCACATAAAAATGTGCAAAAGAAAAATAATACATGACAAAACGTGGGATCTTAACTGAAGTAGAAGTATGAGGCCAATTTTCCCAATATTCTCACTAGATTCATTGACCCTCCGGTGTTATTGTTTCCAGCTGGTCTTAACTGATAACCTCTGTCCAGTGAAACCACATGTAGTTGTAGTGTTGCAAAACTGAGAAATGTCACCATTGTGAGAAATTTACTCGTTTACTACTGTAATTTGTTTTTAAAGTCACAGTAATCGTGGTTAATTATTAGTATTTATTTGGAATCGTGGACCATTCATGTTCATATTTAAGCATGAAGATTAATCAACAACTTATTCATAACTGTTTGTGGATGGATCTTACAGTGAAACAACTGCTGAGCACAAATTTCAATAGCACAAATAAAACCAAAAAAAAACCTATTCATGCTGCATTGCATGCTCTGTGCCTGGGTGGGTGCCACTGTATATACATTGTGTATGCACAATTGGTGAACTTAACAGTTGACTGAATTAACACCGAACTGACGTAAGCTGTATAAAGACACTGCTTTACAGCAGAATTTGAATTTGCTACTACTGCTTTGACACAATGTGTACTGTATAAAGTGTTATAAAGGTGATTGAACTGTATGCATATTCAGTAATATATTTACAAAGTACTGTAATACATATTTAAATGTATTTATATTAAAAATGTATTTGTTTTTTGCAGACTTGGTCTGAAGATTTGGTAAATACTGTAAGTGAATGGTTTCACAGGCTGTGCCTCAAGCAAAACTGTAAGTTTAAGTGAACTGGTTTAACATTTGAACTTTTACATTAAACTCTCCAGATAAACAAGCAAGAACAGAATGAGGGTCACTGGTTATGACACAAACAATGCTTTGAGACAATCTTTGCAAAAAAAAACTAGTCAAGAACTGTGGGATCATAATGAATACATTTTTTACGATAACGTCTGGTTTCCCATAACATCCTTTTCTACAGTCCACTGAATCAACAAAAAAATGTGTTTTGTTAGAAGAAGTGGTTGTGTGTGGTTATTAGGGTAACTTCCTTTCTCACTTATTCATCCTAACATAACAACTGGTGACATTTCTCAGTTTTGCAACACCACAACTACATGTGGTTTCACTGGACAGAGGTTATCAGTTAAAGGCAGGGTATGTGATTTTTCAAAAACACTTTAGAAAACTGATTCGGGCCGAATAGCAAAACAAACTTGTAGCCAATCAGCAATAAGGGGCGTGTCTACTCGTGATGTGGAGGAGAGAGCTTTCAGTGCATGGGACGGACATTAGCCGAGCCGAGCGACAGAAAGATAGAGATGGCGGCTAAAAAACAAAAGAGGAAAACGTCTGCGGAACAATAAGGCAAGAAGTAGGACCCGTGTAAATATCGGATCAGCTTTCCAGCGCTGGAGAGAACTCAAGGAGCGGAGGCCTGCGATCGGACGCCGAGGTTGCTTTGTTTCTTCTCAATAGGTGAGTAACACCATGTCTACAACAGCTAAAGTCTGCCTACACTGGACGCGATCAAACGACCGTTGAAAACCATTTGAAATTTGTGTCAGCACGTCATAAATAGAACCCGGCAGCAGTTTTCTGTCGGGGATTTGTTGCGCCGCGCCGCTCACGTCCGTAGACATGGTGTAACATTGGTTTTGCTTTGTTTCACAGAACTAATCGTTGCCTGGGTTGCGTACGTATATGTGGGGCGGAGCTATCAAAATAGAGGCAAGACCCTTTTGGGGTAGGGGCGTGTTTGTTTTGGTGATTTCAAATATCAACATTGGCTACCAGAAATCACTTACTCTGCCTTTAAGACCAGCTGGAAACAATAACACCGGAGGGCCAATGAATCTAGCAAGAATATTGGGAAAATTGGCCTCATACTTCTACCTCAGTTAAGATCCCATGTTTTGTCATGTATTATTTTTCTTTTGCATATTTTTATGTGCCCAAGCTTGTTTCCTGATCTAGCTTTCTAGATTTAGCTAAAAATGTTGTCAAGTGCGTATAAATAGTACGCCAAATAAAAACAAAAACTTGTGTTATTGATACGCAAAAATGGACTTTGGCGTGTATATGCTACGCAATGGGTAGGATTAGGGTTGTGGGGTAAATGCGTATCATATGTACGTGAAAACTGCGTATCATATGCACGCCAACAAATTTCGTATCATATGCACGCGAAAACTGCATATTATATGCACGCCAAACACATGCGTATCATTATGCACGTCAAAGTCCATTTTTGCGTATCAATACCACAAGTTTTTGTTTTTATTTGGCGTACTATTTATACGCATTTTCATGAGACCGGGCTCCACTTTAATATATAAATTTATATATTAGTGAAAACTCTTTTTAATCTCTTTGACAATTTATATGTTTATGTATTGTTTTATTATTAGCCTACAACATAATTACAGCTGTGTCCTCGTAAACCAAATGGCTTCAAAAACATAATACAGAGTGTTTTTGATATTCAAAAACTTCAAAAACATTTTTTGATATTCATCCCCGAGAAGTAACAGACAAGATATTTTAGTTCACGAGAGACTCCAACAGAAAACTAACAGTTAAACTTAATTTGTATGTATTTTTTTTTACTGGTTTAGGCTAAAACGAACAAGACAAAACATGTACCTTTGTCAACAATCAAGTCCTTTGAATTCTTTATTTTCAGTTCTCAAATTACATCAGTCAGTATACTGGTCTCTAATGAGAACAGATCTCTGTGTGTGTGTGTACAGGTTTATGTGACCCCACTATTCAAAATGTCCTCACAATGTAGTGAAACCCATTGAACACAGTATAGTGAGCTATAGATTAAAAGGCTTATAAAGAACCTTTTGTTTAGGCTAAAACGAATAAGACAAAACATGTACCTTTGTCAACAATCAAGTCCTTTGAATTCTTTATTTTCAGTTCTCAAATTACATTATACTGGTCTCTAATGAGAACAGATCTCTGTGTGTGTGTGTACAGGTTTATGTGACCCCACTATTCAAAATGTCCTCACAATGTAGTGAAACCCATTGAACACAGTATAGTGAGCTATAGATTAAAAGGCTTATAAAGAACCTTTTAAGTCAAACATGTAATAGAATACATGACAAAACATCGGATCTTAACTGAAGAAGAAATATATTATGAGGCCAGTTTTACCAGGAATTATATAATATGCACAAATATTCTTGCTCTGTTGTTACAGATTTATTCATTGGCTTCCAGCAGGTCTTGATAACCTCTGTCCAGTGAAACCACAGTTGTAGTGTTGCAAAACTGAGAAATGTCACCAGTTGTTCTGTTAGGATGAATTAGTAGGAAGCTCCCCTAACCACACACACTTCTAACTTCTAACAAAACATGTTTTGTTTTTTTTGTATGTATGTATTTCAAACATTTTTCAGTGTAGTGTAGAAAAGGATATAACAAATATCAAAACAGACATTATTGGATAAATGTTTTAATCATGAAGCCACAAGTTATTGACTAGTTTTTTTCTCCACATTGTCGTCTCATAACCAGTGACCCTCATGAAGTTTTGACCATCCTAGTGTTTTTGTTTTTTTCAAAATAATTTTTCTATCCTTGCTTGTTTATGTGGACAGTCAGTGTTTAATATAATATAAATGTTGAAATGTTTTCACTTGAAAACCAATTCACTTTTTTGTTCTTTTCCCGCATTTCTCATCTGCCCTAGCTCGTTTCCTAATTTCTAACCTGGCATTGTATACCAAAAATATTGTTGGCTTTGTGATGAATTGCTAATGTTCCTGTATTGTAAGTCGCTTTGGAAAAAAGCATCTGCTGAACGCATAAATGTACATCTGCTCTTTCCAAAGTGACAAAAATAGGATACTATTTTTATATACAGTTAGTTATATATTTATATCTAGCTGTATATGAAAACAAAGTCTATGGAATGGCCCAATTTAGTATTAAGTAAATACACTCACCATTAAGTAACCGTGTGTGTGTGTGTGTGTGTGTGTGTGTGTGTGCATGCGTGTGTGTGCAAGTGTTTGCTCCATTGTATCACAACAGACTAAAATACAAGTTTCTGGAGAAACTTAAGAATCCTGGTTAACAAATGTAATCTTTAGTCCATGTTAAACATGAAATAAACAATACATTACAAAACATTGGGCCATGTCTGATGCAGAAGCATATTAAAATCAATTTCACATATAGTTATAAAATATGGACAAATATTATTGCCTGTAACCCTAGAACAGATATTTTTAAAATCTAAAACAAGAATATGAGACTTTAATTCTCTGTAGCCTTTGGATGCTAGGATCTCAGTATCCCTGAGAAGAAGCAGAAAAGATATGTTAGTACACAAGAGACTCAGAATCATTAACAATTTAAATTCTGCCAAAAACACACACGCTTAAATAGTCTAGAAGTTGGAGATTTACAATCTAGCATGTTGTGATCAGGGTTACTTGAAATAAAATAACTGTCAACTGAAATACATTATATAAAAAAAAACAATAATATAAAAGAAAATTTATTTCAGTTAGCTGCCAAGTCAATATATCTCATTTCCGTTTAGTTTACTTGATACATTAAAATAACTAAAACTGAATTTAAAAATTAATAAATAAATAACCAAAATAAAATAAAATAAAATGGCAAAGACAACAATAATGGTATCTCAGTGATACTAAAATAACACTGGCTGTGATTGATGTATAGTTTCTATATCTGTTTCAATAATTAAAATAACTATTACGATTGGTGTGATAAAACTGCCAGGCTTGTAATGTCAAAAATAGCATTACCACAGCATTACCACATCTGAATCATTTACCTGGTTTAGTGCCACATTGACCACTGTAGAATGGATGTTGCAGGTGGCTTTGCAGGCAAGTGCTGATATACAGATGGAGGTGATGAACTGAGGTATAGTGAACACCAGCATTATTCCAACAGACCGCAAAATAAAACTCTGCAAAACAATCAACATGCCCATATATGAAAGCAGTTCAAGCAATATCATCAGTCAACTATACAGAGTTCCAAAAATTATACTGAAGCAGGTATCATTTTAAGCTAATTATGATAACATCTCAAAAATCCTGATTAGCCTAAGCGATCTGTCAGTAAAATATCTGTCATCATACCAAACATGTATGCCTTTCTTTCTTTTGTGGAACATGTTACATTCTGAAGACTGTTTTCCATGCAATTACAATGAATGGTAACTAGAGCTTTCAAGCTTCAGAGAAGACAAACCAAAAAAACTGCCATTTTGTTTGAGGCAGTGTTCGAACTATACCGTGGACTTTGGGGGAGCCCACTTTTTTTTTTTTTTATAATCAGTCCAATTAATGGACAAATCTAAATGTGTGAATGGAGAAAAAAATATCATAAATAGGACATTGCTACATCTCTCATGAGCTCTCATGAACTCTCATGAACATGGCAAGGAAACCTGTCTGTTTCTTACACCAATCCATACAGCCAGCTATGAATGCATCATGCCATGCACAGTTTTACTATATGGCACTAAACTCTTCTGGAGTGCTGCTTTACAGCTGAATCGCATTTTGGAGACACCGGTATTAAACTGAATGTAATCAACATTGAATTAAGTCGAACTGAATAATGACATTGCTGTCTTTTGAAGAACTGCTCATAGCGAACCAACACTGAACTGACTTGAGCACCATCCACCATCATTGTAATTGTATGTTACTATGACCAGAACAGTTTTCAGAATTTCTCCATTTGTGTTCTACAAAAGAAATAAAGTATGACAGCATTTTAATTTTTCAAGTTAACTGTGCCTTTAAATAACACAGCAATTAAAGACTAAAAACAAATAAATACACATGGTATTACAAAATATTGCACATTGTGCATGTAATACCTGAACATCGAACCTTGGATATTCCAATGATATTCCTAATTGTACACCCATCAGAAGAATAGCTAGTTCTGCTGTTATGGCACTGAACACATTCATTCCAAGAGAGGCTTTCACCTACAATAACAAATCCACAACATTCAGAAAATTACTCAAAGAACAGATTGAAACTGCTTGCAGAAACACATTACTTTTAATTAAAAAAATGATGTCTGAGCAGATGTATGAGCAGGGTTGTCAAACGACCCCATTTACCTCTGGACCCTCAAAGAGTGCAAAAATGTCTCCTTTGGACACTCCATTGGACTATCTGTTATATGCATATGTATAATGGACAGTGTATAGCAGACAGTTATTTTAAAATCACCCTGACAATACAACCATCCCTAACCTCTCAATTCAATTTTTTGGGTCTTTTTTTAATGAGACAATCAAAGCTTTGCTGCTAACAGATGATATTTGAACCTCACATACATGTTTTATAAACTGAGGTTAACGTGTCATCAACAGAATTAGTGTGGAAATACTTCAGAAATTATGTGACAAAAGAAAGCATATAATATGTTGAAATCAGTGTATGATACTGTATGAACTTACCAAACATGGATTAAATTTATTCTGTGCAGCAACAGACAGAGATCCAGCACTGACGTACTGAGAAAGGAACACAGGGTATGTTAAATTACATGCTGGAAATTAAAATTAAAAGGGAAATAAAGCAAAACTAACTTACAATGAAAGATCCCCAGTAGGTGATGCCACTATTGACAACAATTTTGGGATAATAGTCACTGATGGTGAGACGCCAAGTAAGTACAACCCCAAGTAAGAAGACAGTCACTCCAATCATTATCTGGACAATCTAGATGACAGGTATAGGTTATGTTTTATTTATGATGGCCTAGCATTGATGTTTGATATACAAAAAATAAAAGCTATATTGATTATTATTGTACACAGTCTAAATTGAAACAAACACATATCTTTACACTAGGGCTCTTATGACAAGAGATTTAATTCGTTTTAAATGATTTAGGAGAAATACAATTCTAAGAATGTTCCCAAAACCAGATATCATTGTAATTCATCATTAAACGCATTACCCCCAGAGCCTTTGGTTGTGCTTTGAAAAATCCTTTAAGAGCCGCATTGTGTTTTATTGTCTCCTGTCCATCAACATAAATAACACTGTCATTTGCCTGTGGATTTATTTGGATGACAACTGTAGCTTTGTCGGTTGAGAGAACCTCTCTGGTTTCCATTCTATAATTTCCCCTGTAATAAGCGTGTTCATGTTAATGTTATTCAAGTTTATTAAGAAACGTGAACAGCTATGAATATTTAAAGATGACAAAAAGATTTGTTCTTCTCATAGTTAAATACCTCTTTTGTGATCCTGATATATGAAAAAAACTGTGTAAACATTGCCATTGTAAATATGCCAATATAATCATAATCATTGATTGTCTAAGATAAATAATTAATTTACATATATGTGTTACTTTTGACAAGGACGCTGTTGGAGATTTTCCTCTATTTTCAGAGATCAAAATTTACATTCATATTATTTTTTAAATGGGATATATTATTTTTGTAGCTTAATGTTGAACGAAATTATAAAACATTCAAACTTAGTTTTTAGTACAAAGCAATATATGGCTACTGGTGCGAAATATAATATTAGTCAGAACATTATATACAATTTTTGAAACACAGACACAAAATGTAAAAAGAACATGAATGTTAATTGATAAAAAATACATATATTTAAAAAAGTATTTTACCTGAAATGAGATTTGTTGACGTCTGGTAGCTCTTTTGCTGTATCTTTGTGCGTGTGGACTCTGTAAAGGAGGAGCTATACGTTTCTGTCGATTGCCGCCTTCCTCTTAAAATACAAATCGCTTTACACATAGATTGAAAAATGCTCTGTATCTCTATGAATAATAGAGAATGCATTATTAAGATAAATGCGTACACATTTTGCATAAGCAAACTACGGATACAAAAATTAACATAGTTTATTCCACATAGTTTGCTTCCGCATGATTTTTCAGAGATTTTAAATAAAACAAATTTCATGTTAAGCATGAGACAAAAATGAATGTTTTTAGGCAAGATATTTAATTACAGTATTAAACAACAGCATATAATATTAACATTTGATATTTTCATAATGACTGACTTCAACTGTAGATTTAAATGACTACATTATTATTGGATTATTATATTGGATATGCACTTTTTTCTAATGAAGGCAATCATACCATTTTAAACTGTAAAACAATATGCACATATAACATTTAACAATAGACAATAACATAATTGCTAAATTGTCAAAATGGGGGCGTGTTAGAACGAGCCATTTTAGGTAGGTGTGGCTGACTTTTAACTTTTATAAAGAATATCTCTTTGGATTTGAGACTTTAGTCTTTGCAACTGTACAGATCTTCTTTATGCACCAAGAGCTTGTAACACTCCAAAGAGAAAGGAAAAATTGAAATCGCATCATATGACCCCTTTAAGTAGGCTATGTTGTTTTTACTTATCCACATTTGCATTTATCTCACTCACAGGTCATCAAAAACTTAAGTATTGCTTTCAGTTGCTTGCCTTATTCATCTCTTATCACTATAATTTTGGCTAAAATATCCCCACACTTATTTCGTAACTTGTTTGTGATTTAAATTTTTTGCAACTGTAAAAGCATAATTTTTTTATATAGCCTAAATGTGTAAGGCAATTTATAAGTGTGTTTACATGATAAAGAGAGAATATTTACATTTTAAAAGTTCGTAGCTGCCAAATGGGAAAAATGTCGCGGGACAAATGACTGTTTACAATGTCTGGCTCCGCCCCTGGGAATCATCATTATTCGAATGCACGTGGTTCATCACACGCGTGCAATCATGTGATCATGCGTGTCAGCTGACAAGGAAGTAAAGTCACACTTTTTCATTGAGCAGCTATCGCTCGGAATATTTTATTCCAGCGATCTCTGCCTGAAAGTAGCTTTTATGAATATCCATTGATTGCCTGAATGCTGTTGCGTGTGTATCTAACGTTATAAGATGAATTCTCTCGTGGTCGCGATCATTGCGCTCCTCTGCGCGCTTTCCACCGGCGCCGCGCAACACCTGGACACAGGTAACGAATAAAAAATGAATTAACTGCATTGCATAGCTTAATTAAAACTTTGCTGACTTTGATGAGTAAAACACAATGTAATGTAACTATGATTCAGTGGAGTGGCTATCAGACGGTCCAAGCGCATCCGTGGAGCTTCAGCAAGAATCCAACAGTACCAACTCGTCTGATCTGACTTATGGATTCATATCCTGCGCCGTAGCAGTAGTCTTCTTCGGGAGCAACTTTGTACCAGTGAAAAAGATAGAGACTGGTGATGGTTAGTCAATTTTTTCTTACATTTTTGAAACTTTTTTTGTGCTTTTGCCTCGCTGTGAAAGTGTGTTAGCTCAGTGTTTCTCAACTGGCTTTTCTTTATGCCACAGTAAATGTTTATGGTACCAAATGTCAACAAAAATGCCTTTAAAGTAATAGTTAGGTAATAGTTTTAAAAAGTAATAGTATTATTTAAAAGTAAGTAATTGCAGTAGTCTGTTTTGATTTACTCACCGTCAGTGTCAAATTTGTATGACTTTATTTCATCTGTGGAACACAAAAGGAGAGCAGCCGCAGAAGTCTCAGTCAGTCACCATTTGCTTTTACTGTATGGAAATGTGATGCAATGAAAGTGAATGAGGCTGTCATTTTCTTTTTGTGTTCCACAGAAAGTCATACAGGTTTGAAAAGTGGAGTAAATGATGACTGATTTGTCTGTCTTTTTTCATCCAGATGTAGTAATTGTATTAGCTATATTAATACTATATATATATATGCCCACTGAAGCTAAGCAGGGTTGAGCCTGGTCAGTACCTGGATGGGAGACCTCCTGAGAAAACTAGGTTGCTGTTGGAAGAGGTGTTAGTGAGGCCAGCAGAGGGTGCTCACCCTGCAGTCTGTGTGAGTCCTAACGCCCCAGTATAGTGACGGGGACACTATACTGTAAAAAGCACCGTCCTTCGGATGAGATGTTAAACCGAGGTCCTGACTCTCTGTGGTCATTAAAAATCCAAAAAGGATGTCCTTTGAAAAAGAGTAGGGGTATAACCCCGGCATCCTGGCCAAATTTGCCCATTGGCCTCTGACCATCATGGCCTCCTAATCATCCCCATACACTGATTGGCTTCATCACTCTGTCTCCTCTCCACCAATAAGCTGGTGTGTGGTGGGCGTTCTGGCGCACTATGGCTGCCGTCGCATCATCCAGGTGGATGCTGCACACTGGTGGTGGATGAGGAGATTCCCCCTCTTTCATGTAAAGCGCTTTGAGTACCCAGAAAAGCGCTATATAAATGTAACAAATTATATTGCCAAGTAGCAAATTAGCTTATGACAAAATATGCAAAAAAACTAAATAGCAGTTAGAATAAAACATAAGAAATGCTTCCAATTTAATAGAAATATAGCCTATATTTTTTAACTATTAATGTTACCTGTAGGCGAGTCCCCAACAAACACAGAATATTACACAAATGTTAGCATATGTTCCCTTTTTTGACCCAACTATTACTAAAAATTATTACTTGGGTCTTGATAACCCTTTGTAGAGGACATAGAATAAATCAATGTACAATAAATTATATCCTGCTTTGAAAACACACTAAAGTGAGGAAGTTTGTTTGTTTGTTTCTTGTAATATTTCATTCATTTTCAGTTTACCCTACTGTGTTCATGTGCAGGTATGTTTTTCCAGTGGATTCTATGTGCTGCTATATGGACAGTCTCCCTAGTGGTGAACATCATTCTGCATAGTCCAAAGTTTTGGCCTCTTGTTATGCTGGGAGGAGCCATCTGGGCTACTGGTAACATTTAATTATTTAATATGCAGTTCTTGATGATATACAGTGTGAAAATCTGTCTTATGTTTGTGTGTTCCTTCTAGGTAATATAACTGTAGTTCCTATTGTAAAGACTATTGGGCTTGGTGTTGGACTTCTTATATGGGCTTCGTTTAATCTGCTTTTGGGTTGGGCCAGCTCAAGGTAAACAAAATCTGATTTCAGAATCTATTTGTTAGTGACAAACACACACACATACACAGAGAGAGAGACACACTGATTTTTGCTGTTGATTTTAGGTTTGGCTGGTTTGGTATTGGTGCCGAGACTGTTTCCAAACCAGTACTGAACTCCTGTGGAGCAGGTCTTTGTTTACTTAGGTAAATGTACATGCATTCATATTCTTTTTTTTGTAAGTCAGACATTTCATAATGTGATGTTACCTTAAAGTGGCATTATTTGAAATAATGACCGTTCTCTTTTTCTTCACCCTTTTCATTTCTTAATTTTGTTATGTGTTTACAGTGCTATTGTTTTTTTCTTTGTGAAGACTGATGTTCAAAGATCTGCAACATCTGAAGAAACACCATTACTAATAGACCATGTATGTTGACATAGTTAAAAAAATTGTGCTAATAAAGTCAAATTTTTTTTATGGAACCCTTAAGGGACATGGTGATGGAAAAAAATGAGTTGAGAGGAAAAATCATTCATTTATTATTATTTCAATGCTTTTGTGTTCCCCTGAAAAACTTACAAGCGCTTGCACATAAAACTGTTCTTTGTGAGTGCAAAGTTAAATTATTTTTACGTTCCCCAGAGAAACTTTGCATTTGCTCATAAAACCGTTCTTTGTCAGTGAGCGTAAAGTTTCTCAGTTTCTCAAAATGTTTCTCGCACATTTTTTTTTTCAAAATTCAAAAAGAGATAACGGAACGTTTCTCAGAGGAACAGAAAAGCATTTAAATATATTTTTTCCTCCCATCTCATATTTTTTTCATCACCATGTTTCACCATGACACTCCATACAGCTTTTTTTTTATATTTCATGTTTGAATAATTCAATTAATTTAATCAATTTCATGCGTAGACTGTGAACTCCGAATCTGTGGTAGCAACAGATGATTCCTGGGTGGATGCATTAACACCACGCACCAAACGGCTAGTGTATGTACACATCACACTTACATGACCCGTTACACACTTTCCTAACACCTCCCGTACATAATAAGTGTACATAGATTAATAATGGCATTTGTTTTACATCATAAGCATCAAAAAAATAAACTTTTTTTTTTTTAATTTTATGAGTAAATGTTTCTGTACTAATTGTATAGAGTATCAGCCTCAGACCACAATAAAATATAATTAAAATATATGAGTATCTGCAACAGAACAATGCATTTATAAATATGTTTATAATAAGAGCTTTGTATTGCAGTGGAACGTTTCTTGCTGTTGTCGCTGGACTGCTGTACGGTTCATCATTTGTTCCAGTTCTGTACATAAAAAATCATGCATCAGATCCAGACAGCCAATACAGTGGGGCTAGCCAGTTTGGTAAATCTAGATTACCTTGTTATAAGCATTAGTTGAATTCTTAAATATGAACTATTATGCATTTTGTTTATATATACCGTGTTTCTTTGTAGATCTTGATTACGTCTTTGCACAATACAGTGGGATTTTCCTCACTAGTACAGTGTATTTCATCCTGTACTGTGCCATCAAAAAAAACAGACCTCAAGTTTTTCCTAAAGCAGTACTGCCAGGTAACACAATCACTTCAATTTAAAGGAATAGTTCGCCCAAAAATGAAATTTTTCTCAAAATGTACATACCCTCAGGCCATCCAAGATGTACAGCAGATGAGTTTGTTTCTTCATTTGAAAAGATTTGGAGAAATTTAGCTTTACATCACTTGCTCACCAATGGATCCTCTGTAGTGAATGGATGCCGTCAGAATGAGAGTCCAAACAGCTGATAAAAACATCACAATAATTCATAAGTAAACCAAATGACTCCAGTCCATCCTTGTGAAGTGAATTGTTACGCGTTTGTAAGAAACAAATCCGTCATTAAAACTTTTTAAATTTAAACCCTTGCTTTTCCCAAAATATTTCATCATAACAGTTCCTCAATTCATTATTCATAACAACAGTAAAGTAAAGAAGTTGTTCTCTCACATCACATCTCTCACAAATTTGTTGTTCGCTCACATCAAAATCTATCAACATTTAGAACTGTTTTGGACTCTTTTCTTCTGTAAACGGCGCTTCATCTATGCATGATTCTCTCCTGATTTAGACTAGATGAATTTTTCACAAATAGAATATATTAAAAAAAGAGTATTTATATTTTGGCTGAAGGCAATGGATAAAAAATTAAAAATGTCTTGATGGATTTGTTTCTTACAAACACAGCATTTTACTAAACCATGTTAATTGATGGACTGGAGTCCTGTGGACTACTTGTGGATTATTGTGATGTTTTTATCGGCCATTTAGACTCTCATTCTGATGGCACCCATTCACTGCAGGGGATTTTGGCTGAGCCATTCCTGTAATTTGCATTTCCTTTAGAATTATCATTTTTCTTCCGCATACCTCTGCATACTTGATGTGATGTTGTGTAGAATAATGTTTTTTTCCTTGTAGGATTCCTTTCTGGCATCATGTGGGGTATAGCCACGTGCTGCTGGTTCCTGGCCAACCACTACCTCAGTGCTGTAGTGAGCTTCCCTATTATCACAACAGTGAGTTACAGATCTCAAAAGAGTGCACATCTTTTTCTATTTTTCAGGTAAGATTTTTTTCAGATAATGTGTGTTTGGTTCATTCCAGGTTCCTGGATTGATTGCAGCTCTTTGGGGTGTTGTCGTGTTCAAAGAAGTGAAGGTAAATACTTGTGTGTATGGTGTATGAGTTCTGTTCCCGCTGTCTATTGCTTTTATCTTTTTGTATTGAACTTTTCATCTCCTCCTCTCTCTCTCCCTCAGGGTTGGCGAAATTACATTGTCCTCGTGGTTGCTTTCTGTCTTGTTTTATCTGGGGCATTATTGACTGCATTCTCAAAGGGTTAAACCTTTTTTAGACAAGAGCAAAAATGCAAAGAAAAAACGTGAGTGTTTGGTTGAGTGTTTTAACATTTTAACGTTTTAAATAATTTGCAGAGAGATTTCTGCATATTATATCTAAGTGTGTTGTGTAATTTCTTTTAATTTTGTAGTGAAATTCATGAAATTTTTGGATTGCTAATGGGTTGTTTTATTGCTGCCAAACTGTGTTAGAGGCCTTCGTTTTTTATTTATTTATTTTTTTAACGTTTTAAATAATTTGCAGAGAGATTTCTCTCTCTCTTATCAGGTTATGCAGCTACAAAAACCTATTGAAGAGAAACAATTGTTTATATCAGGGAGGGATATGGTCCTAACATATATAAGATACTTGAAATGTTACAGCAATATCAGCACATTGTTAAATGTTTTTTTGTCTTTGTTTTTTTAACTAGGAACACAGTTCATTATATTATTGTTGAATTTGCAATAACAAACTTTTTTTAAATGTCATGTTTACACTATAATGGACCTCATTTCACTATATATTTGCACATATAATGGTTATTGTTTTTTTATATATTGATGCATCTGCACAGTATAAAAGCAGGAATGGTATGTAATGCATAAAGACAATGAAGCATATTTTAAAACCATTTAAAACTAATAATAAAAAAAATAATATATATATATATATATATATGACAATTGTGCATATTTTCACTTCAAATTCATTTTTCTTTTTTTAATTTAGTATTTTTCTCATTGGTGATCATCAGTACTGTAAGAGTATTTTATTTTATTGTACATTACATTTAAATACTGCAATGCAATAATTATAAAAAAAGAATAATTCTAATTCTAAAGTAAATTCTTTTTCCGCAATGATATACTGATGGAATGTCATGAATGTCACCATACAAAAATGTTCATGGTTTTAAAAGTAGACTTTTTCTTCCATATTATATCTAAGTGTGTTGTGTAATTTCTTTTAATTTTGTAGTGAAATTCATGAAATTTTTGGATTGCTAATGGGTTGTTTTATTGCTGCCAAACTGTGTTAGAGGCCTTCGTTTTTTATTTATTTATTTTTTTTTGGATTTTACCAAAAGGGAAATAAATGTTCAAATCCAAATGCAAAGGATTTGTGAGTAGTTGGAGAATAACTGAAAAATGTTGCTTGTATTGATACAGCCTGTTATAAAGGGAAAAAATAAAGCACTGAGAAAGAAAATAAGTAAAATATGTAATGTAAGAGAGCGCACAATTTTCAGTAATGACAAAACATGTTTATTTTAAACTTTACAAAAGATCTTTCAATAAAATATGAACAATGGGGGGAAAAATTATCCCACTTAATTCTCTCTAACTAAAGCCCTTTCTGGTCATTTTAGCTCTAAGAACATCTGTGCTTGTTATATTAAAAATGTGATTAACTTGCCATCAGTTTTAAGTATTCTGATGATTAAATGTCAAAGACCCTCGAGTTCTTTAGAATGACCTCCTTCTGGCAGACCTACAAACTCCTCATGAGACAAGTGGCAGTAACGTCCTTTAGCACATCATGGATGTACGTAACATGACAAAAACATCACTAACGAGTCCACAACAAAGGCTTATTGTACGATTTGCTGGGCGCAGAGAGAGAGAGTGGCCCGGGAACACAGTCTGGATAGGGTTCTGGATCTCTACATGCTTCAGTTTGGTTTCATGGGTGCGGGAATGTTGGCTGAGGCCTGTTCCAGGAAGGCCAGTGGACCCTGCGGCAGTTCTGTGGGCTTTTTATGCTGGACGTTGATGTCTTCCAACACCTGCTGCCAATGATGGATCTTGGTAAGATGTTTCTGAATCAGCATTTCTTTCCTCTGGAGTTCATTCTTCAGTTCTGATGCATCCTGAAACACAGAACAGCACATATAGTTTAGACTACAGTATACTGTATGTTTCAAATATTATAATGGAACTGTAAGAGTTCTAAAATGTTCATGAAGGTGGTTTTGATTTAAATAATGCATGGATGGATTTTAAACAATTTTACAGAGAATTTAAAAACAAAAACAACTGTTTACCTCTTTTTCCACCTGTTCTGGTTTCTGTACAGACAGCTGCAGTCTTTTCTGAAGGAAGAAACATTCAGTCTGTCTGGCTACATCCAGAAACTTCTGTATACACTGATCAACCCCTGAAATACACAACATGCAAAATGAAGGTAAGACATTACAAGTAAAGCCACTGTTTTACATGCAATGGTCAATTTCGAGATTTGGGGCTATTTTACTTTTATAATATATCTTTCAGACTGGTGGAAAAAACATCCAAATTACACTATCTATTTGTGTCTGTAGATTTCATTTACAACACTTTAAAAGAAACTTTATCAAAACGAGTTTTGCCTCATGTACTACGCTAGAAACCTCCACTTCAGTAGCATTTACATATACCAAACTTTCCTGGTTTATTCCTGTCTATATTCTTAAGGTTTTTACAGAGGAATCTGTTTGTATATTATTTGCCTCATTTATATAACATTCTACTACTAAAACGTGATTTTTTTTTTCCTTCTGGCTGTTAACAGTATTTTCTGATTTATGGAGTGGTAAAAAATCTGCAAAAACCTTTGATTCCAATAACTCAACAAAATTAATTACTGTAATATCATATTTTTTGAAGCAGTTTAGAGTATATAGTATATCCCTGTTATTGCTATCTGATATCACAGCATGAGGACACAGCTGGGAAATTACCAGTCCTAATTTCTTCCTGGTCTGTTCCATTCACATAGTCTTGACTGACTAGAGATGCAAAACACGCCTGTGGTGATCAAAAACAGTAAAGGACAGATTACATGACAAAATCTAGAATAACACCACCACTGATTATATAGACTACAACAACTTTGCCAAAATAATGGACACCGTTTCGATCTACAACTAAGCAAACAATTAATTTCTACTGCATGCATAAAGCATGTGCTTATATATATTAAATATAAAAGAAGAATATATTCATGTTAAATATAAAAAGGGTTCAGTGCGTGTATAGTCAGTTGATGAAAAAATTTAAGGGGGTCTGAATACTTTCCATACCCACTGTATATGAATATGGTAATTATGAAGTATTTATTAACGTTCCCTGTTATTACTATCTGATATCACAGCATGAGGACACAGCTGGGAAATTACCAGTCCTAATTTCTTCCTGGTCTGTTCCATTCACATAGTCTTGACTGACAAGAGATGCAAAACACGCCTGTGGTGATCAAAAACAGTAAAGGACAGATTACATGACAAAATCTAGAATAATAACACCACTGATTATATAGACTACAACAACTTCACTGACAAAATAATGGACACCGTTTCGATCTACAACTAAGCAAACAATTAATTTCTACTGCATGCATAAAGCATGTGCTTATATATATTAAATATAAAAGAAGAATATATTCATGTTAAATATAAAAAGGGTTCAGTGCGTGTATAGTCAGTTGATGATCTGATCTATCTAGAAACCGTCGCTCTTTGTATAATTGTACAGAAAATCTATCACTGACACGTAAGCAGCAGCGGTTTTATCGATCTGCTCACCTCGAAAGAAGCTTCCAGCTCATCTACTAAAGTGTTATTTGCCCCTCTGTTACCAGGAGGACCTGTGAGAAGTCCTGGCTGACCTGGACCACCAGGACCTGTAGGTGGATGAGATCCAGGAGGCTGCTGACCGGGGAACATACCGCCCATGGACGACGCCATTTTTCCACTAGCAAGTTAACAACAACAACTTTTCTTCGCGTGCGTAAAAAGACGTCCCAGTCTATTGAAGATGTAATGTATCACCACCTAGTGCACAGGACAGGCAATGCAATTCATGCATGCCATTTAGGCCTATTTATGTATTTACTAACTAAATAAATAAATTTCATTAGCTTTTACATTTCCACCACACAGTGCTACACATCACAAGTCTTAATCACAATCACGTTTCATCTAATCTGTTATCAAACTTTGATCAGGGCAAAATTGTTCATTGTGGTTGAAATGATGCCTGAGCCATAATTTTGGAAAAATAATTTGTCCACAATATTTATTCAAATGTATGCATGTCTATGTATTTTACACTTTGTTTTAGAGCATGTAATGGCTAATTCATGACATTGATTTTTATCATTTAAAAATGAAAAAATGTGAAAGTTTAAGACATGTAAAATATCTCCAAGACGACAGTTTAATAACGAAAGAAAGAAAGAAAGTTTAAATCTGTTTTAATAAAATAAATTCTTGGGACATAAAAGTATAGGCCATGCACCTAAAGTTCTTTTCTTTTTCTGATTCTTATTCTGTATCCATTGTGTCCTGAAATCCAGACTTTGAAGATTTCAGCTTGGTGCCATTGCACATTGTTCATTACACACACACGGATGAATAACAGCTCAAAATTCACCATTTCGACCTTCCCACGACTTTTAAAGGGCCTTTTAAAGAAGCTTGAGGAAAAAGAACCAGCCAGATAAAAAGTGACAGCTCGCACAAACAGGTCAAATAGAAAGTTCACTGACATTTAAAAGAGCTTGAGCTCCAGAGCTCCTTCTAATGTAATTGGCAGAAAAATCCATAGAGCATCTGTCTAGTTGTCTTTAAGTGTCAGAAGAGTGTTTCAAAACCTATGCAGTGACCTGTGGGCTTCCAGTTATTGGACAACATTTTACCAAATGTTTATGCCTCTTTCATGTTTCATGTCAAAAGGAATAAGAAAGAAAGAAATTATTTACTATGATGAGCTAAAAGACTTAAATACAGTAAAACTTTTCGTCTATTTTCATATGGATCTCAAATTCAATTATATCCATTAACATGCACTTGAACTCGTTCTCTCACTACTTTATTCCACCAGGTGACGCTGCTCCATTCAGGAAGAGAGGTTTCATAACATCACACCTACAGCCCTATTGGAACGTTTCACTGGGTGTATTGGAACTAATTCCACAGCTTTTGTCAGGTTGGTTTATTTTTAAATGCCAAATTCTGAGAAACTTGAAGTCTTGTCTACAAAAAGATAGGCCTACTGAATATTTATATTTTATCGACCAGAACCAAAGCAATTTACAAAACAACTAAAATATAAAGTAACTGGATGAATTGCATAAATGTAACCTGCTATTAAAATACAACTTGTATTTGCCTTGACCTGACATGTATGACAAATGTCTTTGTTCTGAGAACACAACTAAATCTTTTTGGTTAAAATCATCACTCTCATCAATCATGCGTGTAGCCTATGCCAGTGTGATTTATTGTGTTCACTTGTTTACCTAACAGCTATTACAAAAAAATTAGAAATTGAAATGTCAGAATTCACAGAAAATATTATAATTTAATAGGGTTTTTGAACTGTAGCCTATGTTTGAAACCAACATGTGTAATTGGACTTTTTCAACTAACACGACACGTCCTCAGAACGTTGGCTAATGTTCTGACAAGATTCTCTTAGAGTTATATACCAGCATTCTTCCAGTAACGTCAGTAGAACGTTCGCTCAAAGTTATCTGGTCTTTAATAACGTTCTGGAGACGTTAGTACACACACACATACCCAAAGTCTCCTTAATGTTTTCTCCAACGTTTTCGTAACCAGGAAAACGAGTTTTAAACACATTTATAAAAACGTTTTTAACATTAAGAAAACATTCAAAATATCATTTTCTAACTTAATGTGAACGTTAACAAAACCTTAGAACATATTTTGTTAGCTGGGTGCCCTGCTGAAAAAAACAATAGAAACCATCACAGAATTTGTAATGGTTTTACTGGTTATAATAGGAATTGTACTGGTTTTAATGGAAACTGTAATGGACCATGTGGATCTCTACTGGTAATTGCTCACCTTCTATTGGTGGCTTGTTAAAACCACTAAATCCTAATGGAATATGTCCCAAAACACACTACAGAAAGCCATTTTTTAATGGTTAAAAGTTGATGGTTTGTAATCTTTGTAATGGTATTTGTAGTGGAAACCATTAGAATTTCTGTGATGGTTTCTATTGGTTTTTTTTTCAGCAGGGTGGTAACTACATCAACCTTTACGCAGCTAGCCTACTGAAACAAGGCTCAGGATGTTTTACTAATTGGAAAAAAAGAAGAAAAAGCACCGTGAACAATGCAACAATATTTCCACTATAAAAAGGAACCATATGTTAATAAAGGGCATTTAGGCTATCAAATGACAAAGCTTTAATAAAGACATGTGAATAGATTTTCTACAAGAACTACCAGTTTTCTGCAGCTCTTGAATAAGTGTCATGATATGAATGCATCACAGCGTCATGATGTGAATTGGTGGCGTTTGGTGCTTTTCGGATGTTTTCTCCAACGTTTTCGTAACCAGGAAAACGAGTTTTAAACACATTTATAAAAACGTTTATAACATTAAGAAAACATTAAAAATATCATTTTCTAACTTAATGTGAACGTTAACAAAACCTTCTTAGAACATATTTTGTTAGCTGGGTGCCCTGCTGAAAAAAACAATAGAAACCATCACAGAATTTGTAATGGTTTTACTGGTTATAATAGGAATTGTACTGGTTTTAATGGAAACTGTAATGGACCATGTGGATCTCTACTGGTAATTGCTCACCTTCTATTGGTGGCTTGTTAAAACCACTAAATCCTAATGGAATATGTCCCAAAACACACTACAGAAAGCCATTTTTTAATGGTTAAAAGTTGATGGTTTGTAATCTTTGTAATGGTATTTGTAGTGGAAACCATTAGAATTTCTGTGATGGTTTCTATTGGTTTTTTTTTCAGCAGGGTGGTAACTACATCAACCTTTACGCAGCTAGCCTACTGAAACAAGGCTCAGGATGTTTTACTAATTGGAAAAAAAGAAGAAAAAGCACCGTGAACAATGCAACAATATTTCCACTATAAAAAGGAACCATATGTTAATAAAGGGCATTTAGGCTATCAAATGACAAAGCTTTAATAAAGACATGTGAATAGATTTTCTACAAGAACTACCAGTTTTCTGCAGCTCTTGAATAAGTGTCATGATATGAATGCATCACAGCGTCATGATGTGAATTGGTGGCGTTTGGTGCTTTTCGGACAGCCATGGACCCCCGCGTGAGTAACGCTTGTGCAGAGGCGCAGTTGAGCCAGCTGTCAGTGCTGCACACACACGTTCACTCACTCAGACTGATGGAGACTTCAGGTCTGACCGCGCGTGAAGCGCCGCAGGTAAGACTCTGGAACGCGCTTTTTTGAAAACATACTGAATCTCTTTACTCGATCGTCACTATTTATGTTTTTTTTTCTCCGTGCATCAAAATGCCATGTTATTATTTAAGAACAACCAGCAACGCAGTGCGATTCAATCTTCCTCATTATGGTTGATGTTACTCTGTGCGTCAAGACGCGATAAACCAGCCTATAACACGTTTTGGCTTCAGGTGAAAACGCAGAGAAATGTAGGATAAATAGGTTTTGTTAATTTCATAATGGGTTAAAAATAAACTTTACGCGCCCAGAAGTGGTGAACAAGAAGAAATGGATCATTAGGTCATGAGGACTAAAGTACCTGCAGGACTTTGACCTGTTTACGATACACTAAATGAAAGCACTTAACTCAGGAGTTTGGTGGCTAATAACGCGCAATAATTGATCTTAATGCTGTCATCGAAACTGTGTCTCTCCTGGGAACGAGAGAACATTGAGGAGGAGATGCCTCACGCCTAAATGTTCTCCTTGGATGGGCTTATCTTTCTCTTTAGGATGTAATGGCACATTTCAGATTGTTGAGAGGAGACATTAAGGTAATGTGTTGAGCTCAAATCCACTCTTTTTGTGTCTTATCAAGATTATATTTCAACACTAGATAGGCTACATATTATTGTAACTGCTGACATACTCTGTGAATTTGTCTTTTATTGTGCTCTATAAATTCCTGGTACAGACTGTGAAAATATCAAAGTTCATTTTGTGTCATTCTAGCCGAAGGATGTTTGATGCTATGTGTGTTATGAAAGACAGACATGTTTTCTTTATATTTTAATACTGATTTGTACAATTTTATACTATGGATTGGGGATTTGATATTTGTGATTCTGAGATAAATATATATTTTTACTATCTACTAGAACTCTAACAAAGACTTCAGGCATCAGATATCATTTAAAACATCTGTTTTCTCTGTCTCGCCTTCCCAATTTTCTCCTTGCCTCTTCTGTCAGTCAATATGTCACTGTGTTCGTCCATCCTTCTCCTTCCTTTATCTCAGTGCTTGTCTTTTTGCACTGCGCCTCTAGCTTGTTTGGTTCCCATGGCTCCCAGTGAGTCTTTTTGGAGAAAATTTCATCTTTTTTATCATAAACTCATCACTAATTTTCGGCTCCTCAAAGGCTCAATTTGAAGGTTTTATAATTTCCATTCATATCAGCATCATTACATGCATCTTCATCTCTCTGTTTCTTCAATGAGTCTCTCCATGGTGCTCTAGAAAGACAACAGTCGATGACCTAATTATATTGTCATGGCAATGGCATTAAAAGTGTCTGCTGATTCATCGAAAGACAATAAATGCATTCATTTTTTAGTTTATCCGATCATTTTTAAAAAAGAGCAATGTTGACCATACTAATTTTTGAAGTCACAAAATATTTTTTTTATGTTATAGAGTAGACAATCAACATATGGCCAATGAAATGACAAATATTACACCCTCAGTATAATAAAAAAATAAGAATAATAGAGTATGTTTGGTTTATTTTATTGTTATGGACAACATGTCAAATACTATCCCTGTTTAATGTTCAAGTGGAGTCTCAATATGTAAACTGTGCAAATAATTATTTCTTATCTCATTAACATTTAGCTTTAATCATTTAGCAGACTTATTATTGTTGACTAATGTTTGCTCCGGCGGGCTTTGCGTTAACTTGAGCTGCAAGTTGATCACAGTGTACGTGAATTGAACTTGATCTTGAACCAGATCAGTCTGACTCATAAACAAATTGTTCAGTCTGATTTTTTTTAATTGAATCAATTGGTTAATTGAAAAGACCCAGAACTATTCTTTCACTTGGTTTCAGAAAATGTGGAATATAGCGCACAGTTTGCACTGACTACTTAAGATGCATCAAGACTCTACATAAATCTCCTTTTGTGTCTCAGAGAAAAATAACAGCATGCAGGTTTGGAACAACTTCATGGTGAGTAAATAATGACAACATTTTTATTTTTGGGTGACCTATCCCGCTACACTAATGTGGACTACTGGCTTACTTAGGAGAGTTGGGAATTACTTCTGTGACCATCAACAATACAAGAAACCATGGGCACTGTAGATCAAACAAAAGATGGCAGATCTTAAAACAAGGCACTGGAAGTAGGACTGGAACCTTGTTCTATCCACTGGTTGTTATTTGATGTTCATGAGGAAAAAATATTTAGGAGAAGTCCAGTATATGCCACCAGAGAGAAGCTGTTTTTACTGGAATATGGAGTAATGACATTTTGATGAAAAATAAATAAATAAATACAAGGTAAAAAAAAAGTGAAACGTATGCATGGATGAATCATTCACAATAAGATCAATAAATTTAGAAAACAGATAGTAGGATGAATTTCCATTTCATGCCAACTTAAACAGTGCAACTCGTCTGAGGTTTTATGGCTGTTAAACAGATCTTTTCAAGAGACAAGCAGACCTGTCAGATTGTCATTCAGTGAACGCTCTATTCTATCAAAGCAAAACTACCAAAGTCTTAAACCCAGATATGCTTTATGCATGCATTATATACCCAAGATACCCGAACAGCCAAGCAGCGTCTTGTAACTTTCAAAAAACATCTAAGACATCTCTTCTGTGAACGCCTGACCCAAACCTGCAAATGCAATAACACACCGTTTTTCCCTTTTATCTCTGTTCTAGTGTGTAGTTCTCTGAACAATCTTATGGCACCACTTCCTATGTTACCACCTCCTTATGAAGAATCGCTCCTCATTTTTAAGTCGCTTTGACTAAAAGTGTCTGTTAAATGATTCAAGATATAAATGTCAGTGCGATAAGAGCCTATTATTCACACAGTTTATGTATTAATGAGGTTCTGTTGGAACATTAAACACTACTAGGATGTATTATTTGTCGTAGCATTTGCCATCTGTTGTCCATAAGAATAAAATAAATCAAACATACCCTTACAATAATTGTTAACTACCTTCAAACATTCCTTGAGTATTAAGTGACATTGTGTTTTTTGAGTGACTCTCAGTAGCTTATAATCTCATTTAACATTGCTGAAATACATTTTTAATACTCTGCACACCTAATTAGATTTTCCCTTTACAGACATGCAAAGGCGAATGAATGACTCCCGCTCCATCTTGACATTTAAGTGCCTGCTTCAAATGCTGGTGTATTCCCTTTGTAGCCCAGTCTACTCTTAAGGTCACTTTGTAGAACGGTACCGTCAAGGGAATACTCTGCACAGAGCATGTGAACAGTCTGCCATTTAGCCTCGGTCTATTGGGATTAGCCACCGTCTGCATATCCCATTGCAGTTCATGCGCACGAGACTATTGTACTGTAAACGTATTGGCCTGCTATGAATGAGAAAGGTTAGTTAGAGATTCACGGCTGGGCTTCCGGTAATGTTTATGTTGTTTAAATATGTATTCATACAATGTGTTTACAATAACTAAACACGCTGAATTATAAACTGGTGAATTTAGAGTTGAATTTGGCTGCTGATAGAGACAGAAGAAAAGGGAGCCCGAGATGAAAGAATCAGAGACCTAAAAACAGGAGGCTTTGCCACCTCTGTTACCTTGACAACCTGCTTCCGACTCTGATATATAGACCAATGCAAGTCATTATAGTTTATGTCTGTGCTTATGTCTGGAAGTAAAACTATTTATAATTAAGACCTATCTATGATGTGTACTGTTCATACAGTATATTAAAGAAATTTAAAGAGAATTGGAAATATGTGAGTCAGGTTGCAAATGGCTTACTAAATAATGTCTTAAAATGTAGAAATGCAGAAAGGTTTGAGAGTTTAGGGATATATATACATAATATATCATTAGCTTTCTATAAAAACAATAGAACCCAATGGGGTTACAGTTTATTTCAAGGGGTCGTTGTTACAGTGTAATTACACAAGCAAGTACTGAGTAATATTAATTAACTACTACAGGGTTAGAGTTTGATTAACGGTTAGTTGCTTGTAATTATGCAAAATGTATAGTTATAACTATAGAAGGTACATGCCGCAAGTGTAACTACTAGGGGTTTAATGGTACATAATCATGACGGTTCGGTACGTACCTCGGTTTTCGGTATGTTTTTGGTACAGCAGGAGGAAAAAACTCAACAAAATTGCATTTTAATACTTTAAACAGTGGTTTACTGAACAAATTGCTCTTTCTTTAAATAAATTCAAGTAGAATTAAAATTTTCTTAGGGATAAAAATCTACCTCAGCTTCTGCTCTAAACTAGGGAGTCCTTTTACATTACTATAAGGTTTCAATTAACAACAGAGCCCAAACTTAAATTCAATTACTATTTACTTTTTAATAATCAACACTCAACTTAAAAAATAGTATGTAAACGTGTAAATTGCACATAATTAAGTTTTTTAATTAACTTCTAAATAATAAAATTTCTACATTATTGAAATATAATAATTTACACAGTGGCTGTCATAACTTGTTTCATAACAGATTTATTTATAAAACGTACATTAAATAATTAAGACATCACTGACATGTAAAGTAAAATATAATGAGCATATAGTCTAATATTTCGTGAAATGCTCTTCTCTAGACGTCATTTCTCCAGTAAACTAATGAGCTGTGGACACTGATGACTTACCTGAGGTAAATGAACTACAAGACATTTTGTTTAAAAGCTGTTTTACTGACGTCTTTCCGCAATCAAAACACTGATTGAGCGATAACATGACTCATGAGATGTTCATCCATGTTTATTTTACGTTAAAACTAGTAGTAAAGAGGAAGGGATGAAATCGCTCACTCGCACTCCGTGCTGCCGTTTTAACTGAGGCGTTTATACAGCGATCTGTCTCACCACATCAACGGCATCATAATGGTATTTATTGTTTAAATGTCCTGAAAAATTTTTTTTATGAATTGATCGGAACACATGCATACCAAACCGAAAGGCCCGTTACCCGTACCGAAAATTTTCGTTACGAATACGTGTACCATTGCTACATATTAAAATAAAGTGTTACTGTCAGTGGAAAATGCCTAGATGTGTGTGTGTGTGTGTGTGCGCGCATGGGCCAACATCCAATGGTTTTATTCATATTATTAGCCAGTAGCTCAGCCAGGAGTATTTGATGGCTTAATTTTAAAAAAAAATCGAGTGCCAAAATCGTAATTAACTTCTCAATTCCATGCATACCATGCAGGCTTAATTAAACAGCTTTTAGAAATGGAAAACATTATTATGATTTTGTAATGTTATTATATTGCCTGTGGAATGCTGTTGGATGATTTATAATATTACACAATTAAATGTGTATTACTTGCCCTTTCAAAGTGTAATATAAGTCTTAGAAATAAAGATCAACAAGGCTAAGGTCAATAGAAAAGATGATGCTAGAAGATTAAAATAACTCTTTATTAAATATGACTGAAGGGAACATTTATTGATTTTTATAACTGGATTGGTCCGTAATCAGACATGACAGTAGATACTGCCTTGTCTTTTCTGAGTATTGATTGAAACGTTTTCTTATGTCTCCACAGTGTGTTGTCAGAATTACTAAAACATGGTGCTGGAAAGGTTGTTACCTGGAAGGAAGGAGTCTATGATCAACACCAATTAGCTGCATAGGAGGTGTAACAATGCCAGACTCCGCCCTCTCTCCACCAGTTCCACCAATCACTGCTCTGAACTGTTCCTTGGACGTATCGAATTGCTCCTTCGCTAACCTCACAATCGCATATGGCGATGAGTGCTACGGCAGCCACTCTTTGTTTGTTGTGATGGCCATTGCCTACAGTGCTGTGGTACTTTTGGGTGTCGTCGGCAACCTGGCTCTCATCCTCGTCATCACACGGCAGCGGGAACTTCACAACGTCACAAACGTCCTAATCGCAAACCTCTCTGTTTCGGACCTGCTGATGTCCCTAGTGTGTCTGCCGTTCACCTTCATCTACACCTTCATGGACCACTGGGTGTTCGGCGCAGTCATGTGTAAACTCAACAGCCTGGTCCAGTGCTGCTCCGTCTCGGTGTCCATCTTTTCCTTGGTTTTGATCGGCATTGAGAGACACCAGCTCATCCTACACCCTCGCGGATGGAGGCCAAACCTGAACCACGCCTGTCTGGGCATCAGCCTCACTTGGGCCCTGGCCGCCCTCACTGCCACACCCTTTCTGTTGTTCTCCAGGGTGACAGACGCCCCGCTGAAGCAGCTGCCCTCAGTGTTTCAGGAGCAGTACAGGGGAAAGGTGGTGTGTGTGGAGGAGTGGCCCTCCAGAGAAATCAAGCTCACCTACACCACTGGCATGCTGGTGCTGCAGTACATCACTCCTCTCATCTTCATCTTCATCTGTTACTTGAAGGTAAGACCAGAGAGACGAACAAGAAGAGATGGTGGCATACTGTAAAAGAATAAGGGCCAGATTTACTAAACAGGGCAAATTAGCGTTAGAGCGCAGTTCCATAAAAGCACCGATGGGAGGGGAAAATTCTGCGGCTGTTTTACTAACAATGCGCACAGTAAAGAACACAGACGCAGCCAGATCATTTCCAAAATGTCCAGCACAATCTACCAAGAGCAGCACAAATTACCGTCTGCTTCAAGACATGCTTTTTTTGGGGCGATAAATATTGGCGCAAATACCAGTAATTTGACAAGTGCAAACGTTAGTAAATCGTGTTACGTGATTCATTTTAATACTCTCCTCCCATAAATTTTCTGTCTGAAAGGGAAATTCCTACAAATGCTTATTCAATAAGGTCAGATGCAAAGCTAACTGTGTCCACACCTTTTCAGCGCTAATTCTTTAGTAAATCCTGACAGTACTGTTTTAACACCAAAAGACGGTTTGCGTTGACGCAAGCTGTTAGTAAATCTGGCCCAATATGTGTAAGTCTATGTCATGTATGAGTCATGTATACCTATATTTTTACATATACAGTAGTACCATTCAAAAGTTTGAGGTCAGTTATATTTTTTTTTTTGTAAGAAATTAATACTTTCATTCAGCAGCGATGCATTAAATTGTTGAAAAGTGACTGTAAACATTTCTACATTGTTAAAAAAACTATTTTAAATAAATGCTGTTTGTTTGAATTTTCTGTTCATTATAGAATCCTGAAAGTAATGGTTTTCCCAAACATATTAAGTAGCACAACTGTTTTCCAAATTGGTAATAGTATTAAATGTTAATAAAAAATCTATATATTGGAATAATTTCTAAAGGATCATGTGACACTGAAGACTGGCGTAATGGCTACAGAAAATTCAGCTTTGCCATCACATGAATACAGCAATCTGTCTATCTATTGTGTTCATGTTGAATTGCAAAATACTTTTGCTGCTATTGAGGAAGGACACTGGTATGGTTAGAGGACAGGTTCGGTGGTTTGATTAGGTTTAAGGGGTAAAGGAAGGGTAAACAGTATAATTATAGATGTGATTACAGAAATGAATTACAGGTGTAATTACAGGGGAGTACAATGTGTAATATAAGTATAATGTAATAACATGCATGTACACAATAAGTGCACTGTATATAAAGTGGTGCCGATATAAGAGAGAGAGAAAGATTTATACAGAGAATATTTCAGTTCAATGAAATGAAATAATGAAAATTGTGTCATTCTGTACTCTCAAAACTCGCTTGCTGTTTTTTTTTCTCTGTGGAACATTCACAAAGACAAACAAATATACAGAACATCTATATATAGATCTTTTCCACAGTGATTTTAATACAAGTATAAGTCATTTTTCACTGTTCACTAATGAGATATGCCACCTATGACACATTCTGGACGTCAGTATCATCAGACGTCACTGGTCCTTCAGTGTCTCTTAACAAAATGTCATGATGTAGAACCCTTGACATCATCATAGGAATCATAGGCAAAATATGATTTGAGAGCTGCTGTGGAGATCAACACTGTCAGGAAATAATTTACTTAAATTATGGCCTGTTCCTCACAAAAAGCTATTATATGACTTCAGAAGGGTTTGCCTCTGTAGTGGACATTATATTTTAGTGAATTTCTCTGAGACTGTTTCATCATCCAGTCAAATCCCAAATGGATAAAGCCAACACCTTCTCTTGTCATATATTCCTGTGGCTCAGTGGTAGAGCATTGCGTTAGCAGCACAGAAGGTCGTGGGTTCAATTCCCAGGGAACACACATACTGGTAAAAAATGTATAGCCTGAATGCACTGTAAGTCACTTTGGATAAAAGTGTCTGCTAAATGCATAAATTAAAAAAAATAAAAATCCAGTTTAACTCTGAAATATTGATAATTACAGAAGTAAAATAGAAATTCATGTCGACTTTTTAGGAGTAGAGACAAGTTACAGATACAAAACTAGTTGAATATTATAGCAGTCTCACAAATACAATCATAAACACACACACAAACAAAAGGGCATGTCTTTTCCGTTCTGCTGTATTGTATAAAGATTATTACTGAGGTTTTTTTGTCCTAGAATCCAGTATAGCTCAGTGAAACAGAGTGTATGTTCTGACTGAACATGACCAGCAGCCAACATGACCTGCCACATCAGCTCATTGCCAACATAAACCCAGTACTGCTGCAGGTTTTGAAAGAAAAGAGAGAGAGGGGGTGGGATTGGTCAGAGAATGGCAGAATGAATGAGTAAGAGGGAGACTGTGCAAAAACGGATCATTTAAAAATTCAAAGACCCCCAAGATCACAAGGATGAGTCATCCAACATGACCGGACACATCAGCTCATTGCCAACATAAACCCAGTACTGCTGCAGGTTTTGAAAGAAAAGAGAGAGAGGGGGGGGGATTGGTCAGAGAATGGCAGAATGAATGAGTAAGAGGGAGACTGTGCAAAAACGGATCATTTAAAAATTCAAAGACCCCCAAGATCACAAGGATGAGTCATAATGGCTCATCCGCAAAGGGTACAAAAATAGAAGCAATAATAATAAAGAAACCAAAAGATATGCTGCAATACAAAGGATTCAAAACTTTATGATGTGTAAAGAACGGCGTAAATGGAAAGAAAGATTCATGTGACAAGCTCCCGCTTCTCAGTAATATGGATATTATTATGCTAATAGAGTTGTAAAAATTAAAATGCGTGTGTGGGGTGAAAGAATGAGCATTCTGCCGTCATTATGACGATGGCTCACTGTTCAGATTGTCAAGTGCTGTTGAGCGTTTGTTGGTGTTCAAGTGAAATGACCGAGTTTTGTCAAGGATGCTTGTCACTTTTACACCCAATTAACCACGGGCGGTTAGTTCAAAAATGGAACAGCACTTACACCCACATGCACACATATCCCAATTTGTCTCATTCTTTCTCTTCCCCTCTTCCTCACTTGTGTTTTTTCCATCTCTGCCGCTGTCATTTTAAAATGGTGCTTTTTTGTGGTTTGGACCAAATTGCATCACAGAAAAGCAAAAGCACTTTTCACACTCTTGCTAGTTTATTTAATTTGTTGAGCAGTGGGCACAGACATTTTAGTCATTTTTATGAAAGCCATGAAAACCCACGTCTGAAATTATGTATTTTGTTTGATAACATGCTGTGATTGAAACGATGGTGATGGAAATCACATTTCGGTGTCTCATTTGTCTCATTTCAAGGCCAATTTTGTAGCTTTTCCTAAATGCACAATAATTAATTTTTTTCACCCGCTTTGCTTATTTGCTAAATCTTAAAATGAAGCACAAAAAAATATCCATAAGTGATATACATTCATCATGTTTCAAATTTCATATCAATCACCTTCATCTGGTAAAAAAAAGAATACTGACTTATGACGTGGTAAAATAATGTAAAAAAAACTTTGGACAACTGTATTTTTGTAGTAATTGGCTTTTTTTTTACACTGTCAATACCAACATGCTTTATGATTGGAGAGACAATAAATCATATTTTTACATTGACTTTTCATGGTTTAGGATTAAAACAAGGGCAAGACAATGAAATCTATGCAAATATAAATGATGGAGGCATTGTAAAATGTTTCCAAAACCTTTATATAACAAAAAGAAAAGTGTTACCTTTTAATAATGGCAAATAAATGTGCTCAGATTTTCACGTTATTTAAATCAGACTTATTTGACATCATAATTAGTTCAAATTCAACACAATATTTAAAATATGCTATTCACTGACAGCATTGTTAGTAGATTTTGATTTATTTTGTAATGTGATCTCAGCCAGCCAATTAATCACTCTGGCCAATGTCTTGGTCTATCTTGGTCTCTCACTACCACAGAGTATGACTAAAGCATTTATATTCAGTTGGATCCTTAGGTGCTACAGTCATCCAACCATCCCACGGTCCAATAATTCAGAATGTGACGCCAACAAAGATTCTGGCTGTCCGGTCAGGGCAGCAACTGTCGGATTGCATCAGATCAGTCTCTCTCTCTCTCTGTATGAGCCAACGACTTTGAGTCCTAATGACTGAGGGACTTTTTTTGTTCAGCTGTCAGTAAAATCGACCTAGAATCACATTTAATCAGCCCACTTAACAAAGCCAGCTTTCCATGGAAATAATTTGGATATGGAGTCAAACCTACAAATTACATACCATACTGTATACAAATTCACTGTTTCAGTCTGGCTAATGCTGGCTTTCAGATTTGAGCTGAAGTAAATAATAAGTTATGAACACATGCATCTCAGTCTGCGTATTCATTCTCTCTCTCTCTGCCTCTGGGTTTTGTGTCATGCAGTTATTTCAGGTCACAGGACTCTGTGCCAGCGCGGCCATTCATCAAATAAAGAGAGAGAATGAAAAACGGAGGAAAAGATAAAGAGGAGAGAAAAGAAGGCTGGAGTCAGTTGTGCTTGCAAGACTCTGATCTGTGTGCATCTAATGAACTAATGATTAATTAATTCATCTTGTCGTGCTAATAAGGCATGCAAATGCACATGCACTGGGTGGAGCTTGTACAGATGTTCTGTTCTAAGTGGACAGACTGTTTTTCCATCATTAGGAAAGAAAGACAAGGCTTTTGAGAATGGCATAGCTGCTCTGTCCCATAGCTATCCAAACTCACACAACTAAAAATTAATGCCACTGCGCAAATTATTACATTGTTTTTTTATTTATTGGAAATTTTGAGGGAAATGTTGAAATGTGGTTCATCTTGTGCAATCTAAATAGCCTTTTGGAGCCAAATAAGTTATTGCAAAGGCTAACATTATATGGCATATTTAATGTTTTTATCAGAATTCTATAATGATCTTATCAAAAAAAAACAAAAAAAAACTTGGTTACTTGCTTTAACACAATTTCTGTTTGTGAGTGACTATTTTACTTGTGTTTACTGGAAATGTTTGAAAAACTTGTAACAATGTGAATATATCAGTGTTATTTTAGTATTATTTAAATAATATTTTATATTAATATTTGAAATTACCTTTTTGTGTTTAATATTTACTAAATTATTAAATTATTTAACTTAATTAAAAAAATTAATTAAATCTTTAATTTATTGTTATTTTAGTTCTAGATTTTGTCATTTTAGTGGAATCTTTTTATTTCAGTTAATGTCCAAGGCAACATTTATTTATTTATAAGTATTCAAGTAATTGTTAACTATGACCAGATCTAAATAGATTATTTTTGTTCTAGCCTCCATGAATGCTTAAATATATATGGGGTTTAGACCAACAACAACAACAACAACAACAAAATCTTTCTAGCACAGGACCCCTGAATGTATGCAATGGTTTGTACGTGGTGCTGGATGCTCAAAAATATGATATATCATTATTTGAAAATATCACAATGCAATTAAATATTTGTAATTTAAATGTTGCTTGAATAAAAATATTTAGTTAGAATTAAATATTTTTGAATGGTCGTCAATGGGGAAAGATGCTCTTTATAGAACAATGTCCTCTGAAACACAACTCTTAAAATCTTCTGACAACAAGAGTTCTCGTAATTGCTCAAACGTTGTAACTCTGCTGGCTGCACACCATTTGTCAAACAACACAGTTTTCTCACGAACAAACTCGCCTTACAAGGTTTGACTGGTAATTTTCTGATGGTTTCTGAATTTCTGGTGATAAGCTTCAGGTACTAATTCGTACGCTCTCAAAACAGCAGCTTTAATGGTATCATTGCTCAATAGGTAAGGCTGTACACACTTCCTGAGCTTTTGCCACTAATTTACATTGTAATAGCAATAACTCTTTTGGCCAGCGTAATGTAGCTGCTATACACTCGAAAGTGACGAAATAAGAGTCTACCTCCGTCTCTCTAAAAGGAGGAACAAGTGTAACGTATTTACTCACATCAAAGCTGGTCACAGACTCACCAACAGAAGAGGAGGTAATGGATGGCAGACTTTGACCCGGTACAGATGAAACTGGTACATTCACTGGTGAACGAGGAGATGGAGGCATAGGCACAGGCATATTAGATGGTGATTTGGCTTGTAGTTCCAAACTACGCAATTTAAATTTATTATCAGTCTCTTAACTCCAGAGTCTGATAATTAAGAAGCTGCGCATCATAATCCTGTTTCTTTAACTGCAGATCCAACTCCTTTAATTTAATAGCTAGCATAGGATCAAAACGAGGATGACTAGGATCTATACTAGGAAAAGACAAGGTATCCCCATCTACCACTGTTTCAGCCCTCTTCCCCGCGAACCCTTCTACAGACTCATCCGGCAAAATTCCAGCCTCTACCAATTTGCTATACAACTTCTCCTTAACAACTTGTTTTGGCCCCAAGGATATTAAAGAAATCTGCAATTTGTAACAAATCAGCTTTTACTCCGTGGTAGGAGACAACGTAAATGACGTTAACGTGTAATTCCAATATCTACCAGCAAGAGCTAAGTCCAGGCTAAGCAGCAATAACTTGACCTTTTGGGTCGGACCCCTGCCTCCCAGCCCATCTTTCCAGTTTACCTGTCTTCTCTTTGTTGTTAGAGTGGAACAAGAGAAATTTCCATGCATTTGCTTTGATTTGAGGCACTTTAACATTCTGTGACAACACAGTGACGTTGTAACGCCATTATTTAATTTACAATGTTGTGTTTGTGGTCCTTAAAGAGTGTTCTGTTTGTATTCTGTCTGTCAGTTTGTGTTGACTCAATAATATAAAAGACACAGAGCCTGAAAACACACACACACACACACACACAAAGATCATCATCTGAAATGTCAGAGCAGCTTTTCCCCCACTGTGTTTTTAATGATGGTTTGCCCTCAGGTCAGCTATAGTTTATGAGCTTCGGTGAGCGTGTCATAGGGTTGTGTACTGTGGTTGTTGGTGGAGGGAGTTGATTTTAGACTGCAAATCTAATTAAAGTATATAGTAAATGTGTATTCATATAATCTTTTTGATGAAGATCACATTAAAATCCACTTGGAAGCTTTGGACCATTATTTTTATGACTTTTCAAAGGTCTTTTATGTATAAACTTTAACATTTGTCCAAGACCCAGATTTTATAACCCAGATGTCATGAACTCATAAATTATAAATTCAGTTACAAGAGAATTCATCATAATAAATATTGTTTAAAACTGTATAAAAATAAAAATTAACATAAACCATTTCAATATTTCATGTGTGAACTTTTTTAAATTTCAATTTAAAAATAAAATATGACTCAAACATTCATTATGGATGCATATAATGCTACTTACAATAAAATAATACATACAATTTTAAAATAATAAAAAATAAAATCTCTCTCTCTGATATTAGCCTTAGCAAAACAAAAGATTTGTTTTATTCCAAAAATGTGGTGGAAATTGTCATTACTTTCAGAAAAAGTAAAAGAAATGGCAGAATTTCTCTATATATATTGATATATAGTGATATATATTTGCTGCTGGACATTGGAAAAATTATATAAATAATTTTCTAAATGTCCAGAGGAAAATGTCTTCATAATTAAAAAAACACCCTTATATGAAATATGAATAAATGATTGCTTATCTGTCTCCCTCTTCTCTTCCAGTCAGATCTACTATATCTCTATCTATCTCCAGCGCCATAATCACATGATAATTTTTTTAAATAAGCTACTCTTAATTCACATTATACACAGGCAAACAAAAATGAAATGTCTCAGTAGTTTAATGCAATGTTCGTCTGCATTGATACATAATGTAACTGGACAAAATGTTGCTTTGCTATTTCTAATTTAGTAAGGATATTAGTTTCCTCTTGAATATTATATGTGATATGTGTGAGGTACAATTGCCTACTGACAGATTTTCAGTATATTTTTGAGATTTATTCCTTTATAATTAAAAGAAAAAAATCTCAATGTAATGGCAATTTGTTTTATGTTCACTGTGGTCAAGTTTTAGTTTTTAGACCATTTGAAATTGTAGGAGCAAAAATAATGATCATTTTCTAAATGTCCACTGGGCCAAAAGTGTTCATACTGTAATTGAAGAAACTCTCTCATATATGAGATATGGATAAATAATTGTTTATCTGTCCCCCTCTTCTCCTCCACTCAGATCTACACACGTCTGCAGCGGCGTAATAACATGATGGACAGAATGCGTGAAAACAAATACCGTAGCAGTGAGACTAAACGGATAAACATCATGCTCTTTTCCATTGTCGTGGCATTTGCGGTTTGCTGGCTCCCGTTGAACGTCTTTAACGCTGTCATCGACTGGAACCACGAAGTGGCTATGAACTGTACCCACAATCTCCTGTTCTCGCTGTGTCACTTGACTGCGATGTGCTCGGTCTGCATAAACCCAGTGTTCTATGGGTTCCTAAACCGCAACTTCCAGCGTGACCTCCGGGCCTTCCGACTCTGCAAGATTGTGTCAGCACGGGAGAATGAATATGACATGGTTGCAATGTCGACTATTCACACGGATGTGTCCAAGATGTCACTGAAAATTAGTAGCCTAGATCTCTAATACAGTTTTGTAAACGATGCTCATGTCTGCATTCTGAAAAAATGCATCTCATTAGATTTAGTTCAAAAGTGTGCATTTACAATAAGAGTGATGGTTAGTAAACATAACGACTGATGTCAGGACTATTGCTGCAACTATTTTCCAAGCTCTGTATTATAGTATACTCGTAAAATTGTACATACAAAATCAAGCAAGGATGCTGAATACATTTCTTGCAAACATCCTGTGTCCCGCATCAGTGAGGCCTCATAGGGACCGAGTCTATGTCGGAAGACATAACAGAAATTGTATGAGGTTCAGGCCAATGGACTGAGCTTTGATCACTAAGATGAAATCTTCTTGCTGCGTGTTTGACTTAGAGCGAAGAAAGCAAAACTGAAAATTAATGCAAAGCCCAAGAGGTCCCAAATTCAAAGATGGATTTAAATGTATAATGAATGTCAGATGTGACTTTTAAGAGAAACTCCGAACTGTTTCTGTGCTGGATTAATTTTTTCGAGTTCTGAGTGTTGAACCCAAAACTAAATTGATTTTCTTCTTAGTTATTCCTTTGACAAACCAAGCCTGCAGGAAGTAAAAGCCTGTTTTTAAGAGGCATTCACATGGATAGCAATTTGCAGGAACAAAGTGACCTGACATTGTTCATTTTCAAAGAGACTGTGCGATTTCTGATGTCACGAGTGACAGCGACTGTTGGCGATGTGACAAAGCTGTGCAGAGCGGCACGGCAACCTCCAGCCATTTAAATGCTGACAGTGTGAACAAGGCTGTTGTGCTATTGCTCACAGCGGTTTATTTTAAACCAGGGTGTCCAGTCCTGCTCCTGGAAGGCCAATGTCCTGCAGAGTTTAGATCCATACCATAATTAAAACACTCCAGAATCGAGGTCTTTAGACAGGATTGGGTAACCCTTCTTTAAACTGTTTTTTTTTGTTCTGTTTTGTTACTTTCAATCCATATTACACGCAAACAAACAAATAGGAATGTGTCAGTATAGTTTAATTAATGTACATCTTCAGTGATGCATAATGATTGTAACTGATGCTTTGCTATTTCTAATTTGATATTAATGACCTCTATTACGTTATGTGTGATATACTATTGCTTGACAGATTTTCAGTATATTTTTGAGATTTATTCCTGCATTATTAGAAGAAAAAAATGTTTCGCCAATGTAATGCCTTCACCACTTGTTTTATGGTCACTGTGGTCATTGAAGTTTTAGTTTTTAGACTACCATTAAAAGTGTAGTAGCAAAAGTATTTTTGATAATGACCCTCAGAAATTACAGAATGATAAATAGAAGGCCATTGAAGTGGTTATCAAGCTCCTCTGTTGCTGAGCAGACTATCATGTGCTGTTGTTGGGATTTTGCCAACATCAGTGATTGATCCGTTCTAAATTACCACAACAACATAATCACAAAAAGATCAACCCAGTACAAAAGAGTCCCAGATTTCAAAGCAATGCAGTTATAGAGATTTGCTATGACATGATTATGTTTGTGCTTGGTAGGTCACTGTGCTTTTTGTGTACAGAATGTTCCATATACTGTATACATAATAACTGTTTCATTTGCTGAAGATATTTTTTAATCTTTTTGGATTTCAGATTTCTATTTTTCCATGTTTGTTTATTTTAGCCTTTTTTTCAAAAAGCCCATTGCATGTTCTAAATATACAGTAGAGTACAATACTGAAAACACATTTCAAACAATACTGTATATCCTGATATTAATTCTTTTATACAGTTTATTTCACTTGTTAGGTAGTTGCCATCAATATGACAGTTGCTGGTGCAAACAAGTGTGCAAAAATGCATCTCTTAGCATTTCATATTTACTTTCAGTGTTAGAGAAAGCTCTTTAACTTCCCACAAGAGCTTAGCGACACAGGGCCAGAATTGGAGCAACAAAAATATCACAACACAAGCAAAACACATTTGACAGATTTATTTATTTATTTTGAAGTGTAAGTGAGCGCTGATGCTCTTGCCACCATTATAGGGAATCAACAGGGAATAGTGTGCTGGGAAAATAACAAGCAAAATAATTAAATATGTATTTCCAGAACCTGCTGTTTTCATTCTCAATATTCCAACTGTCTGTTATCCGTGCTTGTAATATTCGAAAGGAATTGTACAGTGTTTTTTACTTGAATGGAATATTTTACTGTCAGTGTGGATATCCTGTGGATTCTGCGGTCATGTTCTACTTTTTATATTGCTCATATCCATGCTTTCTCTATGCCAGTTTTTAATGATTTCTGTCATTGTCTCTTTGTTACATTCAGACACATCACATCTAATAAGATGTTCTGCAGTGCATTATAGATCAAAATCATCCATGTTTGCTTCACTGAGTGCAGTGATCTTTTTTCTCTGATAGGGAATTATATTACATGACCTCTGACACAACCTTTCTTTGTAGTATGACAAACAATGTAAAAATGCATGTTACGGTACTTGGTCTTTTGTTTGTTTGTTTGTTTTTGCCATATGGGGGTATTAAACACACTTGAAATCCTAAACGTTTAACTATCAGTTTGAGAGTAAGAGTAAGTGAGTTATAGAAATGGACAGTGATCTACGTTATGGAAAACTGAAATAATGGCCAAATAATTCTTTGTGACCTACAGGAAGGATCAGCTCAACATAAAAGTTGGTACATTTTTTAGTCATTCGTCACTAGTTGGCTACTAATCGAACAGAAATGTCCGACAGTTGGACAGAAAGTGTGAAGGGGAATGGAGTGAAGGGGAATAGAAATAGGAGAGGATGTGATGAATGTGAGGATGAGTCTAACCAGAGGGAGGATGGTCACCTCTCCTTCTCTTTTGAGCCTCATGCAGTTAAACACTCCTGACAGCCGCCATGAGCTACTCTAACAACAAGGAGCAGTGACGACAATTGATGGAAATGAATAGCTAGATACCGTGATAAAAGATGCCACACAGCAGGCTTCGTTTTATGATGCAAAACTTGACAAGAAACTACAGTTCTAAAACTCACAATTCCAATAAGCTATAAAACACGGGGTGAAATAAAGTGTCAGCCAGGCAAAATCTGTTGCTTAGCAACAAGAGGTATACATCTGGAAGAGGACAAAGTTGTGGTTCTTACACAACTTTTTCTCTTTTGTCTGAAACAGATGTCATCATTAAAAAAACTGAAGCATTGAATGTTTTGAGACTTTGAAATGGGGTTTGTGTGCTCTTGCATTTTAACATAAGTACTATCAAAAGTACTATTAATTTCTTTGTGTGTATTTTTTTTTTTTTTTGTAAAAATTGACTGAGTGCACCTTTCCCTCTAATGAAAAGGAGGATATTGGCATGTGTGTGTATTTGTGTGTGTTTACACATGAGAATGAAAGTGTCAACTACATTATATGGTTTTAGGAACCGTTAATATTCTGATGGCGGTTTTGTTAGCTTGCATTTACCTTGTCAAAACAAAATCTCATGACATAAGACACATTCACTTCCTCCTCTTTTTTTTTGTACAATGGCTGGACATATACTGACTTACTTTATATCTTTATCAGATCTGCTTTTATCTGATTTGATTTAGAGTATGTATCTGTATACATACTGTAAATCAAATCAGATAAAAACAGATCTGACAAAGATAAAGTTTACTATCTAACAGACAGGCACATGCAAAAACATGCATAACAGTGCAGTGTAAGAAAAGATTAGTTTTACAACATATGACAGGATCTTATGAATGATTTTTTCTAGGTCATGTTTGGATACATTTACATTTATTCTTTTAGCAGACGCTTTTATCCAAAGCGACTTACAGTTGGGGAATACATCAAGCAATTCATCTTAAAGAGGCAAATAGACACAGGAAGTGCTCATAATATCAAGTTTCAAGCATTGTTCAAATAAGTAGAAGATAGACAGGGAAAGATTAGAGAAAAGAGAGAAGTTTTTTTTTCTAAATGTTTTTCTAAAAGTCAGATAGTGGTCAGATAGGATACAAAGAATGTAATTCTTATTAAACTTTTGAAAATTAATTTCACTAAGGCACATGCATAGAGAGTCTATGGAGCTGTAATGGCTCGATGTTAGAGCTTGGTAGATATGGGTATATTCTGCATAGCTTTGGTAAGAAATTTTGTTTTTTGGATGATAGTAGGAGCATATACAGATCGAACAGAAAAGGTCCAAGGATTGAGCCCTGGGGGACTCCACAAATCATAGGGGCCCTCACAGATTTATAGCTGTTAATATTAGTAATCCCTGCTTTCTAAATATTATCCAAACCAACTGAGGACCTTCTCAGAGAGTGTTGTTCGGATTTCCAGTCTGTCTTGGAGTATATCATGGATGACAGTATCTAAGGCAGCACTAGGATCTAGTTATATTGGCAATGACATTTGTTTGAATCTGTATGTAGGCATATATTATTAAGCAGATTTGACATTCTCCAGGTATCGATTTGTGTTTACAAATTTGTTATGCTAAATGAAGATAACTAACATTGATTGTGTGCAGTTATCTGGATTGTTTTTAGAAAGGATTAGAAATTGATTCTAATAGACTTTGGAAAAAAAGTTATTTTCTGTATCTAATATAGGTCTCTTTCTATACATTTACACTTTTTAAAAAGGATGTTGGCAGTGTGTCAAGACAGCCAGTGGACATTTATAAAATGCTACACTGTTTCTTCCCGGGTTTTGCAGTCAATTGCTTTAACATTAGTCATAATAACTCATTTATTATGTTGCTGTATTTCGAGCTGTTTGACCTTAGTGCAACATGAGGACTTGATGATTACCATATACACAAACAATCAGTTTGTGTGAACACTGAACAAACTATTTTTGATGCTAGTATAGATGTTGGATATACACATGTAGTCTACACTCTAGTGTCTTTAATTTATCACCTCTATGGGAGAATTGAAACATGATGATCTTGATATGTTTGCTATTGAATTAACCGATTGTTAAAATGACTTAACTGAAAGAAGATTATTTATGAGTTTTAGGG